TACAACTGTGTAGTTACGGTTGGCTATCCAGAGAAAGCCTCCGATTTTTCGAGTAGATCAGCAAATCCCGAATGTTATAACTCTACAGTTGCGGTAGATAAGGGAGGTAAGACTATCGCCAACTATCGAAAGTCGTTTCTGTATTATACAGATGAAACTTGGGCCCATGAAGGATCTGGCTTTTACGATGGAAATATTATGGGGCTAGGGACTGTGGCAATGGGAATCTGTAAGCTTTTAGCAAATAGTTTACGCTCAACCAATCATACAACATATCCAGTCAACTCACTGACACTCATAGCTTATAGGCATGGATTTGAATCCATACAAATTCGAAACTCCATGGACTACCTGTGAATTTGCTTGCCATGTACTTCAAAAGAAAGCAAATCTTGTTATTTTGTCCATGGCTTGGCTTACAAGACAAGATCAATTACCTTACGGTCTACTGGCAAGTGAACCTGATATGGATACAATCTCTTACTGGATTGCAAGACTGAAACCTATCATTGGAGCAAGGGGTAATGAAGAAATCATTATCATCCTCGCCAATCGATGCGGTACTGAAGGCGAAGCAACATACGCAGGAACCAGTACAGTCCTAGGTGTCAAGGGTGGCGAAATTAACGTCTACGGCATACTCGGCCGAGGTGAGGAAAAGCTTTTAACCGTTGATACTGATGAGCATCCTATGGCCAAAATAATGTCGGGCACAAAGTGAACCAATATTTGATCTCGCCAACCATCAACTCGATTTCAAAATTCAATGCTAGAAGCCAAATAAATAAATCATGTTGTCGATGGCTTTCAGAAAATTGACTCAACAGCAGCTGCATTTACAAGTATTCCACAATAAGTAGTAGTAAATTCATAATCGATTCGGTCTATCTAGCTATACTAAGACTATACGATATACTTATATATGGTTCTAATTGAATAAAGTAAATAGGAAAAAGAAATAAAAACTTATTTCCCCCCAAACTTCCCTATTAAAACCTATAAGCAATCTTTCAAGCAATCCTTTTAAGTTCTTCAAATCACCTATATTATTAATCTATTATATTTAAAAACCTTTTTTCTATTAAATCCCTTAATATATCTATAAAAACTTTATACTTTTTATTTTATTATAATAATCCTTTTCTTTCTATTTAACTCCTTCTAAAATATTATAAAAATTATAATTAATTATAATATTATATTCCTTTTAAAAAGTTATTTTCATTCTTTAATATTTTAAGTCTTTCAGAAATCCTATTATAATTCCTAATTTATTACTTATAAGCCTTATATTCATTTTCTTCTATAATATATTAATAATATATAATTTCTTTTTAAAGTCTAATATTTCCTATTCCCTTTTCTTTTGTTAAATTACTTTATTAATATAGAACATAATATATTAAGACCTATCGGATTATTCTATTAATATAGGGGATAAGATTGTATTATAGGGCTAGATGATTAAGTAAAATCGAAATAGTAGGTGTAATAGTATTAGGGTATTATTACTTTAGTAATATATACTTTATGTTGAAGAATCATTATTTCTTTAATTATAATTAATAATATATTATTTACCATATAAAATAATATTAAATTCAATATTTCATAATAATATTATATACTAATATAAAACATCATACATCTAAATTAATATATTATAAATGTTTTTCAAAAGATTTAGCTTTTTATTTATTTATATAGAATAGTTATAAATATATTAATAAAATATTAAATGTTATATTAATATATCTTTTATAAAATATTTCTTAAAAAAAGTAAAACTTTTTGAAAAGTTTTCATTCTTCATTTTTTTATACTTAAAAACCTTCTTTTTTATAATTGAAATCTTTTTATAAAGCCTTCAAATACTAAAAGATCTAGATCATCATAGAAATTTATAATTTAATTTCTTTTATTAATTATATTCAATATGATAAGCCTATTGTTAATAGTATTGATATTAATGATTCTAATATGAGTATGCTAAACCCCTCTTTTTAATATTAATAATAATATTTCCTTAATCTAAATAGATATTAATTTAATGATTTCAGAAAAAAATAAAAGATAATATTCTAATTCGAATGTAATAAAGATTAATGGGTTTTTTTAAGAAAATCTTTCCTTAGTTTTTCGTGTGGTTTATTTCATAATGATAGTACCTAATGCGTCGATGATATTAAAACTCCACTTGCCAATGTCAACTCGTACCGATCCGAATTTTATGTAACTTGAGCACCAAAACGTGATGTTAAAGGATAAGGTAATCATTCTTTAAATGGAGTGGAAATCTTAAGCTCTAAAATCAAAGGGTTTACTTTGTAACGTTCATGCCTTCTCCAATCGAATAGCTCCGGAGAAACGCCCTGTTACCTAAGAGTTCATCGTCCACTTGATATTTAATCTAGGACAAACAAAAACAAATTCCCAAAATTAACGGTCCTGAGAATAGTCAAGTGCTACAAATCAAGGTCCTCGCGCCGAATTGGTCGGTCCATGAGCCAACTCAAATTAAGAACATAAGTTACACTTATGCATGTTCCTCAAGAATATTCTATAAGATAATCGTTCTCTATGTCAATTGCTCATTGAGTTTTTCCTGATGTTGATTGTTTGATCGGACAAGTCAAATAATTGTACACCAATTCTCGGAAGACGTCCGAGCTCAATAATCCTAAGCACCCGGCACCACCACAAAAATACAACCCGAAATCACATCCTATAAACCGATTCAATCCCCATTCTCAAAGAACTTCCACGAATTATATGTTGCCCATCCAGAAAATTGCGGATAACCTCGGATTTCGACCCCCATCCTATGTCATTCAGTGTAGTTTATCTCTCCACCTCCTGTGATACCGAGCTCGTGTTTCGGAACTCGGTACGTGGAACGCCAAATTTTCGGCAGCGGGATGCTTGGGAAGCAAGCGATGTAGGGGTTTGAAAACGTCAGCTCGGCGCGGAATTCGGTACGATGTGCAACAAATTGTAAAGAAGAATTGTGAGATGTGATGGATTGAATAGATGGGGTTTAGGGGTGATGAGCATTATTTATTTGGGACTGTGAATTGCCCGTTTGAAAGGGAGATAGGGATGAGAGAGACTTCGGAACGGTGACCCGGTAGGTGGTAGACAGATAGTTTGCTCGACGATGCGTGCAGTGCATGCAGATCAATATTACCAGTGATCTTTATTCTTGGGACATTTGGAAAATTTGCTTCTTCTTTTGGTTGTTCCAATTTGTGACTGAGAAGTCTCAAGACGCGTGAATGATTTAAGAAAAATCTACTGGCTTTCATATCTAACGTGTTAGCTATCGCTGCTATTCATGTCAATTAAAATCTTAAAGCCGTTCAGCTACAATATATTGAATGTTCTCACAATTAAGATTACCCAGATAGACTCTCATACGGTAGTGTAGAAGGGTTTGTTTGGGTCAACGTCAACCAGTCGAGGTTTACTAGATCTCAAGCTCCTGAATATGCAATCGATCTTGTCTACGAATACATTTATTACATCTTCTACACCCTTGATATCGTCAGCACTATCTCAAGTCTTGATATATTCACATTAGCATATCGCAAAATATAAAATTCACCGCTCGACGTGAACATTGTACTCGGGTCCTAGACCTTGATTCATTCTTTGACGAAGGGGCGCAACAACAGGTGTGAAGGGTTCAATATCAATGAATGTGAATGGATCGTGAGACAATCAAGCAAGAGAGGAACTATCGAGTTGCGATGGGCAGATCCTTTCAAGGAGTGCGTAGTAGCAACCCTTGGTATAAAGTGGAAGTCACGAAAACTCAAGAGAAGGCAGAAGACATTCCGGCCTAGGAAATTTTTGCAGGTCAATAAGTGACCTTTCAAAGTTTTGGTCCGACTGTAAAGACTCTTATTAGGGTTGGAGCACATTATCACTCGCTCATAGCCTCACGGCACCATCATCAACAACTTGTTTAGCACGACCAGGCCTGACTATATTCAATTTGAACATAAATTGCCACATATATAATTATCCAGAGAATTTTATTCAAAAGAGAGAACGCCAAGGTCCGAGGGTGTCGAAACAATATCAACTATTACTGGGGCGGTAAGATTATGCTAAGTATCCTTTTCGGACTACCCATTGACCTCTCTGACCTCACCACTGAATTTTACATCATCGTTATCATTCTTCGCGGCTATCCGCCGACGTAAAGGTTGTTGTCATATACTTCCATTCTCGCTGCCCTTCCTATATCTCGGTGGTGCAAGCGCAGTTCAACTACCACTCGAACTTTTTATTTTCAACAATCATCCATTAACTTATGCGAAGGTAATATAAACCCTCATATTGACCTCAGTTACCTGATCCACCATTTTGCACCATCTCCGGACCCATCCAACCGCTGACCTCTCCGTTTGGTTCTTCCGTAATGAATTTCGCATATGAATATATGAATTTATCAGTCCACTAATGGCCATCAATACACATCTCCACGAGGTGTTAAACCGGTCCCTGCTCCGGGCGCAACAACCAATCTTAGGACTCTCTTCCCTTTATCCAAAATGTGTGGCTGGAAAATGTACTTATGAAGAAAGTACAGTCATGTTCAGGTGAGCTTGAAAAATGCGTTGCATTCAAACAAAGTGGCAATCCTTCTGTGAAATGGCATCGCCTTGTTGCACATTACAATAGACGATATGTATGTTGAGAGTGGAGAAACCTTGCGATGACGATGGAAGAAAATGACATACATACTAGGTCAATAAGAAGTGGGATAATGAACAATGGAGGTTGACGCAAACGCTACGCTTAACAACGTGAAAGTACCCGAAAATGTTTCTTTAGCATCACGTTCACGGAACAAAGACAAAAAAGTTTTTTCATAACGGTGCCATCGAAGGCTAATACTATTGTTTTATCCCATCGACACCAATCACCAAGGTAGGGACGCATCTTATCTATATTACAGCATGATCCGTTGTTGCATTCTGAATCACTCAAAATCAATCACCTCCTCCTAATCTATGTCCTGAGCCACGAGCCTTCCACGATTCTGGTAGAACACTGCCAGATGAGCTAGGAGCATTGGCAGATCGTTGTGGTTGTGCAACCGCAGTTCCATAAGATCTTTCAGTGACAGTGGTTTGTGTTGTTTGAAAAGCTCTCCGAATGAAACCCGGGGTTGGAACAAAATTTCTTCCGCCACCAAATATAGGCCAAAGTCTTGTCAAGAAATCATGCAAATGAGCGGCAACAAGACCGGTAACTTGAATCTTTGCTGGGCCGGGGCCGGCCATCACAAAGGTCATTAGGAGCATGGCATATGGAATCCATGGTGCTGGAATGGTGACGACGAAAAAGGTAGCTTTCATGCCACGATCATCTTGTGTCGATGTATATGCGAAAGCCAATACCAATGCGGATGTAAAGATGACACCACCTGTTATGAATACATTTAATCCCTGCGCATTTGTTAGATGAGATTTTTACATGGTATCTCTTGAACTAGAAACACCAAGTATTAACATCTCAATGATAATGACTTGAAATGTAGGGAGCCACAACCACCCGAGTCAAGTTGAGGAATCAACACGAGTTTTCTCATAGGAACTTCCCACCATGCCTACACCTTAACTGATCCTATTTGTTGTTTTGCGAATGTCGGACCAGCCAAGATGTAAGGGTAATCTCCCTCGTTTTAGGAACCGTTGTAGCTAAGAGCATTGCACTAAACGGGCAGTATAGAGGTGGGGTTTGAATATAAGAACAATGAAAAAAGAAAAGAAAAGAGAGATAATGCCTACCAAGATCGTCGCACAAACAAACAATACATATGTCAAGAAATCTCCTGGTTGAGAGAATCTAGGCGAAGCTGTTTCAAGCTTGCTTCCATAAGTGTACACTGTTGTTCCAATGTAAGTCAATCTATCCTGATTGTAATGCGATCCTTCAGGTCTTACGAAAGTATGTGTCGAAGAGAATACCCAAGTCTGGGCCAGTGACGAGAAAGGGAGAAATCAGTCGCCATATTTGAGGCGGGAATTGCAATATAGGTTGCAATAAGAACATGACATGATAACCTGAGAGAATATGAGTGTAGACCAAGATCGAAAGAGTCAAGGCCCCAGTAGCCAAAGTCCTACGCACTATTATCAGCATCGGTATTAATTGATTGGCGCATCCTTCGCAGAACGCATTGCGCATACCTTGAAATAGGCGGAGCTGCCCAGAATACATCCATTGCCGACATGATTCTTGTACGGTATGATAGATTGTGGAAAATGTGTTGAACTAAGCTTCGAAAGCGTGATGCTGTGAGAGAAAGAAAAATTGAAGAGAAGAGCTTTTTCGCGACTTATGAAAAGTGTTCTTTGCGAATGGCGCTTAAGTAGGCTTCAAAGGGAGCTAGTTCCAATTACGGGTTAGGGCGGGACAGCTGGAGATCCTTGACCTCACTGTTGTTGTAGCTCCGTGTATGCATTGTAACCTCGACATCACGTCTGTTATTATCTTAAAAATTAAATAACAATGATATCAAGAATATGAAGTGACGAGTAAAAACTTTAGTTACTGTACAGCAGGTATATTATTCAGTAACCCTATCATAATGGTTGAGAAGCATGTTTACCGTGGATTAATGCTGATCTCAACCAAATTCTGCGAATTTCATCATACATGCAGTTGGCCGATCACGGATCAACCCCACCAAGAAATTTAACCCATCAGTATGAGTCGTTCGGTGAAGTTTCAAGCTTTTGCTTGATATTTATTTTCAGTTTATTCTCAATTATATTCATCCAAGTTAGACATCATGGCTGGATTTGACACAAAGTAAGCCATCGAATGATTTCAGTCCCAAGTTTCGTTTTCTTACAATCATCCTAGGAAAGTTCTTATGCTCGGTGCGGGCTTCGTAACACGCCCAACCTTGGATATTCTCAGTGAAGCAGGCATTCAAGTTTCTGTTGGTACACGAACATTCCAATTCCTCTTCGAAAGATAGAGCTGACTTTTTTGTAGCATGCAGAACTATCGAAAGTGCTAAAAAGCTCTCCGAAGGTGTCAAAAATGCCCACCCAATCTCTCTCGACGTCACAGACGACAAAGCTCTTGATGCCGAAGTTGCAAAGAACGATTTGGTCATCAGTTTAATCCCATATACATTCCACGCTACCGTCATCAAATCTGCCATCCGAAACAAGAAGAACGTCGTTACCACTAGTTATGTTTCTCCCGCCATGCTCGAATTGGACGAGGAGGCCAAGAATGCCGGTATCACAGTTATGAATGAGATTGGTTTGGATCCAGGAATCGATCACTTGTATGCTGTTAAGACCATCGAAGAGGTTCACAAGGCGGGTGGAAGAATTACTTCTTTCTTGTCATACTGTGGTGGTCTTCCAGCTCCAGAGAATTCGGATAACCCTCTCGGTTACAAGTTCTCTTGGTCTTCTCGTGGTGTTTTATTGGCACTGAGAAATGCTGCAAGATTTTACAAAGATGGAAACATTGTCGATGTTGCTGGTCCAGAATTGATGGGTACCGCCAAGCCATACTTCATCTACCCAGGATACGCATTTGTCGCCTACCCAAACAGAGATTCTACTCCTTACAAGGTGCGTTACAATATTCCAGAAGCACAAACTATAATTAGAGGTACTTTGAGATATCAAGGTTTCCCAGAATTTATTCGTGTATTGGTAGATATGGGATTCTTGAGTGATGAAGACCACGGATTCACCGAGGCAATTTCCTGGAAGGAGGCTACTCAAAAGGTTCTTGGAGCTTCATCAAGTACTGAGGATGATTTGAAGTGGGCAATTGCTTCCAAGGCAAAGTTCGAGAGTACCGAAGAAAAGGAACGTATCATGAACGGTCTTAACTGGGTTGGTATTTTCTCCGACCAAAAGATTATTCCCCGTGGTAACCCTCTCGATACTCTGTGCGCCACTCTCGAGAAGAAGATGCAATTCGAGGAGGGAGAACGTGATCTTGTCATGTTGCAACACAAGTTTGAGATTGAGCACAAGGATGGAAAGAAGGAGACTCGTACATCGACATTAGTTGAATACGGTGATCCAAATGGTTACTCCGCCATGGCCAAATTAGTCGGTGTACCATGTGGTGTTGCTGTAAAGCAAGTTCTCGATGGAACAATCAGTGAGAAGGGTATCCTTGCCCCTATGACCAGCAAGATCAACGATCCGTTGATGGAGGAGCTGAAGAATTACGGAATTACATTGGTTGAGAAGACCATTTCTTAGAGCATGATACCACATACATTTAGATAACGAAATTCAAAAATATATGCATGGTTTAAATGTGCTTCCGAGCCTGTTATCTAACTACCAAAGAAACCTCTAATCTACCTTCGAGAACTCTGTGCTTCACCCTCCTTTTCTCTTTCCCATCTGTGCATTGTTTCTCCTCCCAATTTCTAGAATTCCAGCCATGCACAACTTCAACTCTTATCATCATCGTCACTCCACGTCGAGCACACACGACCAAAATTATTTCAACATTTCATTCTTAGATATACAAGACAATACAATAACGAATTACCACAAATGTAATATATAACACTACAACAAAAGGGCGCTACAATTGGTGTGATTCGGAGCTCATGCTTTTGGAGAGAGACAAGACCCGCAAATTGAATGAAAGGATATCTTCTTTGAATGTGTAGATTTAGGAGATCATATGAAGATAATATGACAGTATATAGTGAGTACATATGAAAATTCATGAAGATTTGGAGGAAGAGAAGATATGCCGTGCAAACGTCAAGCTCTTACCCGGCGGGTAGACATCTTCATTCAAGACTTTTCACTTTCCAATACACCATTCATTACCCACGTCACCAAGCAGCATCGGCGAATCAGTGGACGTTCGCCCGTAAGGATTGATTGGCTAAGAGTTGTGAATGATTAAATTATTTTAAATAACTACATTCTCGCTTGAGCATCAGTATCATCGAAGCGCTTTACGTGAGGATATTACTGCTATTGTACATTTTTCAAATCCCTTGTAAGACATCTTCCTACGGATTGATCTCCTATCTTGATAGATGGAATAGATCCAAAGTTTTACAAGCGCTCCCAAAAATCACCTGATATATTTGACCATGTATGTTTCATCTACATCATCGATAAAGGAGAATTTTGTGCGTATGCCTGTTTTACTAGTTAGCACATTATTCGGCGGGAAAACTCAAGAAATACGAACCATAGGCTTGATATTAGGATGTGGTACGGCATCAAACTTGTGGAAGTCTAACTTATAATCAGGTCCAATATTGATATAGGCTCCCTTGTTTTCGGTACTATCGCAATATCTCGGTGCGGAGAAGACTAGAAAGTGTTAATTAAGTCTGTAATATAAAAGGAGGAATTCACATACCAGTGATACATTTTCCATCGTGTTCCTCTTCATAACCTTCCATTCGGACCTCATGACTACGGATGATAGCCTCCAACCCATTGTTCTCGCAAAACCTTCTAGTAATATCCGGTCCGAATTGCATACCGACACCACGTTTACTTGGACCACGACCTGGCTCCTTTTGTGGATCGGTCCATAACATCTCCATCATCAATCCTGCCTGACCCGGTTGACGTTGATTATGTCTGTTCAAAGCTCGAATATCGTCTAAGGTGATCTTATCATCCGAGAACAATCCTCCGTGAAGGACAAGGTATTTCTTGCCAATGAGAGTTGCTAAAGGTAGGGCCGAAAAACTTTCGGAGAATAGCTTGAAAGTACGTTCTAGGACGAATCAGTTGAAGTTCTCAAGACCAAAAATTTAGATAAATAGGAAGACAACTTACCGTTGTATTTTGCTTTGCACTCGCCCTCAAACCCATAAACTCGGTTCATATCATCTGTCTCGTGGTTTCCTCTATTGATAAAAAATGCCGATGGGCGTAACCATTTGTAGGCATACAACAGTAATGCAATCTCACATGACCAAGAACCTCGATCAACGAAATCACCGTTGAATAAGTAATAATGCTTCTCTGTCGGTAGACCGTTGAGTCTGAAGAGTTCCATAAGATCGAAAAATTGACCTGGACTCAATGTTAGCTTAAAGCTACAATGTGATAGAAATACGACTCACCATGTGTATCTCCACAAACAGTCAACTGTGCGTCACTGTCGATCTCCATCTCCACCATTGTCGGTTCATCATAGACAATCTTTTTAACCGCCATGACAATTTGATAAACATATTTCTGGTGTATTTTCTTGCCATTCTTGAAACGATCAAGCATATCATTGATGAATGCGGTCGTCATTTCGTTGCCCAACTCTACACCATCATAATCCTTTACGACCATATCATCGAGGTTAAGGCCCTCCGCCGCAGATGGTGGATCTCCAACTTCGATGGCTCGGAAGAACTCGATTTTTTTCACAATCTTCTCACACTCTGCCAACTTGAGCTTCGCATCTTTGTCATTTGGTGCCTTCCTGACAACTGCTCTGAAATCTTTGAGAGCTTCTTTTGGTTTTAGGATTGCAGTATATGCAACGGCCCGACGATAGTATGCCTGCGAAGAAGTTGTTAGAATTCGGACTTTGGACAAGAGAAAGGTAATAATGGCAGAATCTCTGATCCAACGAACCTTTACAAAATTTGGATCGAGTTCAATGGCTTTCGTAGCATCAGCTATTGCGTATCCATAAGCCTCGGATTTGATGTTTGCCTGTAGAAATGGTTAATCACGCGAGCAGTTTGAATGTTGAATACATCTGAAAGTACCTGAGCTCTGTTTGAATAGTATGTTGGCTTTTGGTCGTCAAGTTCTATGGCCTTGGTGTATAAGTCGATAGCCCCGAGCCAGTCATGAGCTGCAAAAGCTTTGTTTCCTTCATTCTTCAAGGCAACTGCCTCTTCCTCTCGGGAGGACATTTTCTCGATCAATCAAACAAAGATTGGTACAGAGAGGCAAGTGAGTGCGGGGTTATTTATCGTGGTGGAAGTGTAGTGATAGGAAAGCAAATTATGTTGATAATGTAACCGAACTTCTCAATAAAATGCGTTTGATATCTCGAGGTCCTGGAGATGTAGCCTCTACAAAAGTCTGATTATGAAAAGTAAACGTTGTAGGGTTGTATGTACATTTATGAATTTACTTTTCGAATCCCGCAAGTATTCTTTCGGAGTCCAGAAGCATCCCTGTTGTGCAACATTGTTCCCAATACAACTTCTAGGTACAGTACTCGAGTAGTATCTAATTTCTACCCGCACGCGCTTAATCATCGATCTGATTTCCATCCCTCTTATCGCAAATCCCCATTATTTTGTGCAATCATCACTTAACCTTATTTTATTGATCCGGCATGAAAGCCATCTGAACAATCAAAGTCCGGCAACGTTTGGAAGAATACGGCAACGACTTCAAGAATACTGTCGATTGCTATCTTGGGGTTTGAGCTGGCACATCTGCAGCGATGGATCTGGTACCATCAAAATCAACTTCATCGACCGCAACCACTCTCACAAAACGCGCAAATGAAACTGCTTTGATGCCACCACCCCCAAAACGAATCAAACGACCAAAGAATGTTATTGACGAGGATACATACACCGATGCCATATCAGAAATCATTGCTCGGGATTTCTTTCCAGGGCTACTCGAGACGGAAACGAAACAAGAATATTTAGATGCACTCGACTCAAAAGATGGAGCTTGGATCACAAGCGCTGAACGTAGGCTTCGACATGTTATGACTCCGGGAAGACGTATTGGAAGACGTGGTACATCTATTCAAACACCATCTCGAGCTTCAGAAACACCTGGCGGACTTGCTGGAGATACACCAATGTCAGTCACTTCCGACGCAACTCAGGCGCCCCAAGTAGAAGTCGATACAAACATGAGTCTCACCAAATTTCAATCATTATATACTAGCGAAGATAACGAAAGCTTTTACAAATTACTAGACAAGCAAAATCAAAAACGAGCTGAGAAATATGCTTGGATGTGGACCGGGAACAAAGTGGCATCCAATATGATGCTGAAGCAGAAAGAAGTTGAGACAAAGCTCCTGCAGTCAAGGCAATCTTTGGAGGACGATGGCGGAGAAAGGAACAGACTTGCGCTTCAAGACATAAAGGAGAGACCAGCCCAACCCGACTCCTGGAGATCCAAGCCAAACAATGGATTAATGTTTCGACCTGACAGCGTGGAAGATTCAATTGAGACTATGGCACAGAGAGCACAAAACGATTCGAGAGTTGCACCAAAAGGCGTCGCATATGATAATACAAGGTTGCCAGAGATTACGCTTCAAGAGGAAACCAACATACCGTCTTCCCCATCAATGTCTGCTGTGAGGGATGCTATAGCTGGAAAACGACGAATTGCCGACTCAGAGTCTGGATTCGACGGAAGTGAAACTCCACGCGTGAATGGCTATGCATTCGTGGATGATGAGCCGGAGGGAGAACCATATACACCGTCTCCGATTATTGATCTTGGCCCAGGCGAAAGTACCAAAAATCCATTCATAATTAAAGAGCAAAGCAAGCGAGAGGGCCTACATCATAGGATGGTTGACAAAACTGCCAGAAGTAAACGTACATCTGCAAAAGTCGGTATGACTGGGAAGGTTGAGATGACTCCCGTGCCCAAATTTCCCGGTAGCCCTAGGGTGGGCTCCGGTGGTCTGACACCAGCTGCTGAACGCTTATGGAGTCGTGTCGGTGGTTCGGGCATGGGGACTAATGACACCTTTGGTGTTAGAACACCTGGCACAGTGAGAGCCAAATCCAACCTACGGGCGAGATGGACTCCTTCTGGGAAGAGCTGAACAACATTAAATTATGGGAATAGAATGGCGTTTGGGGGATAAACTAATTACAAGATACCCTGTGCATGCTAATCAGTCATTCTTTACATACGGAATGGAGGAATCTTGGTCAGGTTTCATATACCTTGTAGGCACAGGTTACCGACGCATGAGCTCTCAATTGGCTAAAGATAGCTTAGAATGGTTATACCTAGTATTGTTATGAACGTTAATGACCTTGAGTATAATAAACATGCACCAAAAATTACCATGATTCTTCATGAATTTTGAATCGTTTGTCTTAACTTTTCATCCTTCAAGATTGTTTTGTAGAGCTCTACTCAAATATTACCGTACCCACACAAACCATCTCACGATATCGATAGTGACGTCTTCGAAATCTACAGGGATTGCGGCTCGGCAAGAATTATCGATGAACTTAGCAGCCGTCCGAATTCCTGAACATCTCTCTGCGGAATTCTTATCTAGCTTTTCGGCATGAATTTATGAGCATAATTGAATTAATTATTTGGTAACTATGGCGGGGAAGAGGATTCTAGACTTGGCTGCTCTCTTCAATGCTTCCCGTGGGGTTGCACAGAAGCACATTGCACTAAAGACAAGACAAATTGATGTATACAATAGAACTTCGACTCTAGCAAGAGCAGTACGCAATCAGACAGACCGAGTTACGGAGACTGCCAAAGCAGCAACTTTCCTTGCATCAAGATTGAATGATAATGTGCCAGAATGGACAAAGGAGGCAACAGATTATACAACCAGTTCTCAATCGAATGATAGTGGACCTATACCCAGCAGAAAATCTACGAAGGAACGAGAGCATACACCAGAGAAAAAGGAGGGATTAGAGCAGAATCATTTCTATGAAAAGTCCGAATTAAATTCGTCTGTCAATCCAATTCCGAAAAGAGATTTGCATATTCAGCAGGAAAAGGCCAAAAAATATCCATTTCCTGACGGAACAATCCCCCCTCAAAATGCAGATATCGATACTGCCGAATTAAATGCAGATACAACTCCTACCAGATCGAAAGCTGGACCCAAGCTCGATCCGATTGACAGTGGGGGATTGCATCCTGCGGCTTCGAATGCCTCGACCATCCCTATTCCAAAAACCAAGCCTTTATCCGCGGATAATGCAAAATGTATTCAGCGAAAACACGAGCGCCAAATCCCATCAGTCACTGCAGATGCAATTGGGCATTCAAATAATCCATTGGAAGAAGGGCATGATGAGGATTCTTTCTATGATAGATCAAGACACACATCACCTACCTTATCTTCCTTACCCAGGGCCAAAATACCAAAACATACATCCGATATTCAGGAAAATAATCAACATTTGAAGGATGATGCTATAAGCTCTGATACCTTCTCAGAAACTGTTGATAGGACTAAACAAATACCCTCTGTTGAATCAGTCCCTGAGCAAGAACAGCTGCCCGAGGGCATCAACACAGATCTGTTCCATAGCCCAAGGATTGCTAGGTTATTGGGAGGTAAAACTCAAGGATCAGGTAAAAGTACGCTGGGCTTAAAGGGAGTAAAAGACACTCCTGTAGATCAGACCCAACTCGCAAGAAATAAGGACCAGGATACCTTCAATGTTTGTTCATCTGTTCAAGCAGAACCGACTACCCTGGATAGTCCACTCAAATCCGTTCTTGAGACTCCTCGTCAAAACGATGAAGGCATCGAAAAGCTAGCGGCAGATATTAGCAAAGAAAGTAGTAAAACTGTAAATATGAACTCCTCTTGCACTAGATGTATGTGACACTGAGATCTGACGATAATATAGTTGCAGCCAGAGGGGAGCTCACAGCCTGCTCCATATAAGCTGCGAGAATCTAGTGTTCCTTCCTCAAGACTTGGAAGGTTGTGGAACTATAGTGGTCTCGCTGTTGGCATGGTAGGGGGGGCCATCAGCGAAAGTCTTCGTCGAGTTGGTGGTGGTGGCGGCGAGGGTTCTTTCATGTTGAGCGCAGGTAACATGGACAGACTTGTGACCAAATTGTCTCGGATGAGAGGTGCAGCTTTAAAATTGGGCCAGATGATTAGTTTTCAAGACTCCAAAATGCTTCCGGCGCCAATCCAAGAGGTAATGCAACGAGTTCAAGATCGAGCAGACTACATGCCCGCTTCACAAAGGAACAAAGTATTAACAGCAAATCTCGGACCTGAATGGAGAGACTTATTTGGCGAGTTTGAAGAAGTTCCTTTGGCTGCTGCATCTATTGGTCAAGTCCATCGTGCGACTCTCAAATCAACGGGTGCAAAGGTTGCCGTAAAGATTCAGTATCCTGGGGTCGCAGATTCCATAGACTCCGATCTTAATAACCTTGCAATCCTGCTTACAGCATCTCGTCTCTTACCAAAGGGCTTATTCCTCGATAAAACGATAGCAAATGCCCGAACAGAACTGGGATGGGAATGCGATTACATTCGAGAAGCGGAATGCGGACTACGTTTTCAGGAACTTTTGGCGGATGAAGAAGATGTTTTTGTCGTACCAAAAGTATTTTCCGAAGCATCAGGGAAACAGGTCCTTACTATGGAATATATGGAAGGCGTGGGTGTTACTCGCGTTCAAAGTTTTACGCAAGAGCAACGCGATTGGATTGGAACCCAGATCCTACGTCTCTGTCTTCGCGAGATTACTGAGTTCAAATACATGCAGACCGATCCTAATTGGACAAATTTCCTTTACAATGCACAAACCAATAAACTAGAACTTCTCGATTTCGGTGCCTCTCGCGAGTATCCCGAAGAGTTTATTACTAAATACACACAACTTCTAGATGCAGCTTCAAGATCAGAGAGAGATACAGTTCGCTCTCTGTCTATTGATCTCGGGTATCTTACAGGCCAAGAATCTAAGGCGATGTTAGACGCGCACATACAATCTGTTCTCACTCTCGCAGAACCATTTTTAGAGTCTTCTCCGGAAATTTATGATTTCCGAGATCAAACCATTACGGAAAGAGTAAAGGCTCTCATTCCGATCATGATCAGAGAGCGACTAGCGCCACCACCAGAAGAAACTTATAGTTTACATCGAAAATTGAGTGGGGCGTTCTTACTGTGTGCGAGATTGGGCAGTAGGGTTAGGTGTAGAGAGTTATTTACGAACAGTATGGAAGAGACGAAATTCTTGTAACAAATGAAAAGATGGCAGATGCGTATAATGTACGTTCGTACATTTGTAATTGCTGTCAAAGATGGAGATGAGAGGGTCGTAGAAGGAAGAACTGCGAATGAAGTACAGCATAAAGGGAACGTGTAATCACTACTCGTAATCGTCAAAATAGCTTCATTCCTGAGTTAAAATCTCATCATTTCAATAGAACCCATGGATTCTAAGGTTGTACCAAAAGCTCATCAAAAACTGATAAAAAAAGTTACTATCTCGAATCTCAGGGGTGGAAAAATCCAACCTGGCGAACTTACCAAGAGACCCCGCAAGTAGCGCAGCCTTATGATTTTGCGGGCCGATCCGCACACTGACGTAACAACATGCGTGCTATAACTTCACCGCGAAATCCCACAGATTTTCCATCAAACCAAACCCCATACGATCAACATGTCCTTCAAAAGTATTCTCGATAAAGCTAAAGCTAAGGGCGAAGCCTTTGCTGCTCAACACAATTTTTCCATTCCCGGTCAATCCACGACACATGCACCCCCACCACCACAACCCGCACCACTAGGATACGATCCTCAAGTTCAACCTCATCACAATGCAGGTGCACCTCCTCCGATTCCTCAGAATAGACCATCCTATTCTGCGATTCATCCTTATTGGATCCCTTCTTTCGCTCCCCACACACACGTTTCCGGCAATTTCAGACATCAGCTGGGCGATCATGGTTGGGGAAACAACGAACTCCAAGATTACATCGCAGATCGAGAAAACTCGTTCCACGATGAAAACGGTTGTCTGGTCCTCCGAGCCATTGCCTCAAACGGCAGACTTACAAGCGCACGCTTAACCAGCCATATGACACTAGCTCGGGATCGCGGTAGTCTCGTAGCAACTCTTACACCACCCTGTGCCTCTGGAATCTGGCCGGCTTTCTGGCTTCTCCCTCGTGAACCTTTTACATGGCCAAATGATGGAGAGATAGATATTATGGAGACGTGGAACGGGGATGCGACGAATCACACTTGTTTGCATTGGGGGCATTTTAACGGGGAGGATTGGAATAAACATAGGGTCGTGGAGACACCGCTGCATAATATGCATCATGCACGACATACATATGAGTTTGCGTGGAACCAGCCGGAGAATGGTGTAGGAGGGAAGATGGTCTGGTATATTGATGGGAAGGTCGTTATGAAAGCGACGGTGCCAGATGGAACGAGAAGGTTGAGTGATTTCCAGGTCATCATTAATGTGGCGATGGGCGGAAATGTTTGCCAGGGTCAGAGACCGCAGGATGGACATTATGACTTGAGAGTTCATAATTTAAAGATGTGTGATGAACCAACTGGTGGATGGGGAAGGTTTGAAAATGACTTCATCCATGGGCCGGAAGGACACGCAATGTGAAGGGATGTTTGGCCAGTTCGAGGACGATGAGATACTTTCCTGAAGATACCGAGGATCGAAACGATTCAATGAGATTTTCCCTTTCTAGATTATACCTTTATAGACTTTCTGTTGGAAATGGCGCCTCCTTTGGCCTGCGGAAGCTTTGTTAGGTGGCGCAAGATACTTACATACAGATCATAAATTGTGGCAATACTGCACGTCGTGGAAAAATCAAAGCCAGCTGTGTCAGAACTTCCAGTTAGAATCTCTAGTATTTTAAGATTCTCCAAAGAATTGAAGGTTGCTTCGTCCCTTGGTTCAAGGAAATCAAATACTTTTAGGCTGCTTCAGATGATTGTGCGGGGTCCTGTTCAGATATTACGGAAATTTAATTGCAACAGGAGCTGAACTGTACAAAATCGATTCATTCTTCATTAGACCTTTCCACAGTAAAAAAACGCTTCTTAAACGGTATGAGCTCAAAGTTGAGTCTATGCTTGTGAATGTGGCTTTTTCTCATACTTGATTTTGGACCATGTTAGATTTGTATCATCGCTTAGGGTTCTGCCTCTTTTGCTTTCCGGCCACTATTCATGGGTATTCAAGATCTAAATATTATTAGGGCAGGCCTGTAAGTGGCCAAATAGTAACTCTGATTGTCAGTTCCATTCATGTAATCAGTGTTGTCATCTTGGGTAGGAATAAGATGTCTGTGCCTACCTTATTTCATTCATCGCGCAACTCATGTATGGATCCTGTGAGATTTATATTCATTCCACGGTCAAATAGCAATCAATTTGATTGATTCTTGAAATGATAGCCATATCAACTACTATACATTGTTTGAATGTCATTTCACTGTCATGTAGCTCTATTTCCACTGATTCTGGAGTCATTTTCGTGATTACCTCATTTCGTAGTCATTTTACAGTCAATTCGATCCTCTTTCAGTTATCCTTTCATCAATTTCAAGTCACATCTGTCAAGAGTTGCAGTCATATTGATACTTCATACCATAAGATAATGAATCATCACGATTTTAAGGGGTTTGAATTAGAGCTGCAGAGCACCTCTTAAGCCCTCAAGTCTCCCGTTTCATGCACTTCCTCCTCTAAATCTACATTGAATGAACGAAAATTCATTTGCTGCATTGAGAATTAATCTTTGAACAAACCCTTTTCCAAGTACATTGCCTCTAATGCAAGCAATCATGAGTAGTCCAGCCCCAAATCTTCAATACAAATCAAGACATGGGGAAAGATCAGCCAAACCTTCTGCCGCCCAATCTCACCCAAGATATTCATCCCACTCAGGAGAATCAGTTCGCTCAGGAGGAGTTTCAAAGCATCTTAATAACAACCTTCATCATCCATCGGATACCCAAACAACACCACGTCCTCAAAGAGAGCTTCCAATACACGTCGATTCCAATCATTATCGCTCGGTGAATGCGCAAGTACAGCCAAATCTTCAAAGAGCAGATCCAATGCACATGGACGCTGGTCTTCGTCGCCCGATGAACGCTCGAGCGCCACTACATCCGCAACGAGAAGCTCCCAGGTACTCTGATCCCGTACCTCAGCACCCATCAAATTTCCAAGGGCAACCAGCACAGCAAGAGCATCCTAATGAAGGTGGGCGTCGAGTTCGGCCTATTCCCCCCCAGTTAGTTGTTCCTCCCGCGAACTCAAGATCTCTTCCTCAAGAATTTAATGTTCCTAGACGAAGTGTCACTGAGAGTCAGAGACGGGAACGGCCCCCACCAGTTATAATAGCCGATACAAGCGATTCTGAAGATACCAAGGGTCAACAACGCTCGCCAAGCCCACTTCGTTTCAAAGAAAGAAGAGGTTCACCGTCAAAAGACGGAAGAAATCCTGGAAAGCAACTTTACTACGTTCGCCCACCTCGCCCCAGTTTGTTCAAAAGCAGTAAGATGGATGGCAAATCGACAGAGAAAAGCAAAACAGATTCTGGTAAGAAAACCTTAGGTAGAATTCGGGTGCGTGAATACGGTATTACCCAGCAGGGCACAAATAATAGCAAGGCCTGGAAGCCTTCCTCCAAGGTATTTGGATATTCATGGGCGCCCGGTGACAACTTTGTAACGCGTAAAAAACGAGAAAATTCGAAAATCCAGACACTCGAAGGATCACTAACATACAGTGAGTGCCCATTCCCAGATATACATGTGAAAGTGTTGCATAATGAATTCCCTAATTCGTTAAAAGATTCCAGAGCTCATGGGACATAAGTGGGCGGATCGTCGAGCATTTAAGGTGATCGTACAAAATCGCGTTCGAGGAATTCTTATATTTTACGCATTCTCTTGGGTTTTATGGTTCGTTGTCTTGACATTGGATTAGCTTGTCCTGACTCGATGTCAGATTTTAACTGTTGCATACTTTTAGTACATTTTTTGGGAAAGTTAATGTGTTTGATTGGCTCAAACCTTTTAGGGGAATTAATAATGGGGGGTTTTTTGTATCTTAAGAAGGAGAATACAAATGCCCCGCTTTCAAATAAATATCGCTCTCGACTAATACACATACCGCTTGGCGATTTTCATTTCAGTTTGCTAGCAATGTATAGAATAAGGTAATGAAATAAATGATGCTTCCTTGAAGCCCAGAAAATTACTTGACATATATTTTATAACTTCGCAACAATAGGGGGGGTGTTCTCGAAATCCCACGTTATCTTACCTAGGTAGCGTGTTACAGTAAGTTGATTACAGCGCAAGACCTTCTATACTTAAACCCTTATTCAAATGCATCATAATACCACCACTCAATTCAATCCAAAAACCAAGCCATATAGCTCAATTTTCAGAATCTTGATTGACGACGACATAGATTTATCTTGGTTTTCTCGTTACCGGAAAGTTGTGTACCGAATGGAATTTGGCAATGGGTGCAACCAAAAGCTGCTAGTCCGCTGTGTTACATTTTATTCTGAGCTTTCTACTGTAGCTCATATGGCTGGAATTATGGAACAAATACTTGATCAGTTTTTGTTACCACCCCCAATTTTCTTTGGACATCTCTGATTGAATGAGGTAGCTGAGTAGCATCACCATAAGAGGCAATGCTTTGTGGATTTCTAGCCATCCGTTGAATAGGAAAAGTTTGTAGCTGATTTCCATTTGTACTTAGGGGAGGTTGTCTGCTGATTATTCTGTTTGGGTGGTGGCCACTAGGTGGGTACCATTCGATCAAATGAAAGTCGTGATCATTATGTTACTGTAGCCAACATGACTGTAAATATTTCCTTTTTCTCATTCATTGCTGAAGTCTGTTGCTCAAGTAATTTATTTACCTCTATTAAACTCAAAGAAAGTGTATGATTTCAACGTACATCCACTGCCAAAATTCATCAGGTGTAGAGTATATTGGGTGGTTGGCTTTGTGAGTGATCCTGTATTTTCAGTGGTGATTTGTGCTCAAGGGTGACTTGACTAAACAGTCAGAGCCCGAAAGTCAGTTGTCCATCCAGTCTTCATTCAAAAATCACAATAAATGATTGTTCTTCTCAAACTCGCAATGTATCATTTGTCGCAGCTAGAAATACTCAAATGGCTAATCGAAATCATCTTTCCACAGTCATTTCTTGAAAAATGCGGATTTATCAATGAGAGCAATATTGTCCACAGCATTTTAAATGTTAAAATTAGATTTTATGCTCAAATCAATTTAAATGTATCATGCCAAACTTATCGATCAGGTTGCTTGGCATTATAATGGCAGTTATAATATTGCTCAGAAGCGCTGGATCCCCCCCGCCCTACCCTTTTCTTTCAACTGCACCACCTACTGATACTTACAGGACTATATATTTCAAAAGTCCTCAAGAACATTCTCGACACTTCCGCAGTCAGCCCATCAATAGCCTCAACCATGTACTCAGTCACAAAGAATTTTTGCTATGAAAATCCAAGTAGCGCATTACACACGGGAAGACCGGCCGTAAACGATTTGCTCTCAAATCCAACACACACGGTTAAATTATTCCCTGCAACTCATATCGAGAGTATTCCACAATCTTCGCCAGGAGACATCCCAACAGAAATTCAAAGACTCTGTACATGGGCAGCACATGTTTGGCATCATGGACATACAAGCAATCCAATCTCTGATGAATCGAAAGACTCTATCTATAGAAGAGACGAGTGCAAAGATGGGTGTGTTGGCTATATCTACTCTTGGACTTGTAAAAAAGGATGGAAATCTGGTCATGTATTCGTAGACGTTTCATGTGGAAGTAAATGCATAACTTGCCCTGGGAGTAGCGGTTCAAATTCCCCCACCTCGATGCCTAAACTTCAAAGTAGAGATGGTGCGAGAGCGGGAGATTGTTATACATGTGAAAGTGAAAGATGGATGGCCGGAACCACTATGTATAGAGTGAAAGACTCTGTTACATTGGGATCTGGAAGAGCTACTGTACTTGAGAGAGTTCAATATGGGATTGGAAGGCCTCTGGTGTGTGGATTATGAGTTTAGTACTTTGCAAGCTGTGGCGCTAAAACTTAATGACACAAATACAACCTCACATTGCTCTTAATACCAATATTTTGCGAGGTTTTGATTGAGTGAGTGACACGAAACTCTAGAAGAGGGGAAGACTCTCGCGATATCAGAAATGGCTCTTAAGAAACCCTCAACACATGCCGATGACGGAACATCATGAATTCAATATCCTTTTTACGACAGAAAGACGATGCGATGCTTGAAAAATGTGCCGGTAATTCGTACAAACAAATCCTTGAAGCGCATAAAAAAGAATACAGCAAGGCATGAGAATATGTAGACAATGTAGCGTATAATGAGAAATTTGAGGAAATGTATAAATTGGAGAGGGTGTAGGAGAGATAAATAGAGTAGTACACAGCAAGTACCAACTAATTTAGTTGGAGAATGAGAGGAAATGCTATGGAGGCGACGAAGTCTGTGAAGGAATAATAAAGCATGTGATTTCGGTACTTCAAGTATTATGACTTTAGGAATTGCCTCATCAGACAAATAAGAGTCAAGAAATTTTTCTGACTCATATTTCTCCAGTACAGCAATCATTCTGCTAGTGAGGATCAGTCACAAAAAGTGACAAAACCTTCAGTTACATCCAACTTTTGAAACTTCATTTGAAGATTAGCTCCAACTCTTCCCGAAATCCAACAAGCTTCAAAAACACCAGATAAACTTTCACAATCCCAGGCTTGCCCAATCAGTTCGATAACACGCATGCCTTTCTCGATGATCATGAACCCAGAATCTGCGACTTCGGAACTCTCTTCCGACGAACGAAATGTTTATTCTCTTGCAACTGTGCGTCCCTCCATGATAAATACACTGAAGCAAATGGCCGCTTTATGGGCCCAATCCACCGAGCCTGCACCCATTGATCCAAAAAAACTCAGAAGCCGAAACCGACACAGTTGAACAACCAAGCAATCCAGATTTTCCAGAAACCCCAACCAACACCGATACATTAGGGCACTCTTGCAGTCCAGAAGACTCCTACCAGAAACTCTACGCCGAAATGTATAAGAAAGCCTACGATGAAGCATATCAAACAGCATGTTGGGACTCATTCGATCGATCATATAAAGCAGGGTTCAAAGCTAAATTTAGCGATAGTTATATGAGAGCATATATGAGTGAGTTTGAACGAATCCGTACTTATGATTCCGAAAGTAACGTCAAATGTGAGGATTTTGGGTTTTCTTGGTTGAACCGGGAGAAGATGTGTGGGATTTGCAAACTGATTAAATTTACAGGTAGTACGAAACATCATGCATTGATGGAGTCGATTCTTGATAAGATTCCCTTCTCTGATAATGAAGAATCTGCGGTATATTTATCTCTCATACCCCAATTTAGACCCCAACAGTTGGAACAAATTCTGACATTCAGTATAGCAAACATCTACTCAGATGCTACAGCTTTTCAATCGCATACAAGACCTCGAAAATAATCGGAAAAGTGATATGACTCGTCAAGTAATGATGCAGCTATTTTAGAGTTTATTGGCTGTGCTCTTTCTTTATCTTGTCATGGATATGACTACCAGAAGGGTCTAAAACGAGGGTGGGAAAAGCTGAGTAGCTCAATTAGAACCTGGGAAGGTTCGTATCGACGGAGTAACGAAATCTAGGTGAAGCATCCAACTTATACTTGTAGAAATCCAACATACGTGACTTTAAGTTTTGGATTTTCTGTCCTCTAGTGAAAACCTATGATAACTGATGATCTCGTCTTTTAAGAGAATTGAAATGTGATTGTTAAGCAAATAAACGAGTGTAGAGTACTACTCTACGTTCAGATGCACATGAAACGTTGTGTGAGAAAAGTTTTCAGTCATGCCGAGTTGTAAAATCTGTCATTGAAGCCAGTATGATGACAATTGACGCGTAAGTCATCCTCGTATCAACACTAGCCTTTCCGTCTACTCGTCCCAAACGATACAAACAACCTGTCCCTCTATATCAATTCCGGCGACAATCTCCAAAGCTCCTCCATCTACATTTCTCTTCAACAATGCCACTCTTCCATCATTTTGCAAGCCAACAGCTACCAAATCTCCAACTTTGTTGATAGAGAACTGTCTCGGGAAACTACCTCCAGCAGCATCAATTGAGACGAGCGAAAAATTGCCATTTGAGTGATTTAAGGAATATGTTAAGAGAGAGTCTGAGGGAATGATGTTCGTAGCTGATGGAGAAGAAGGATCGGGGATACGAAAGTGTGTATCGTTGCGTTGAGAGATGATGAGGTAGTTATGATCGGGCTAGAAGGCATATTAATTCCATGTACTTTTTTGAAAGGCAGAATTTGGAAAGAATTCTTTTAGTTAGGAAGACAGTTCCTCAAAAGTAATCGCTTACAGTAATTTGGATCCCTGCCGCGGCACTATAGAACTGTAATTCCTCCCTTGGTGTAGTCGTCTCCAAAAGACTCCTCTGAAATTTCACTTCAAAACTCAAAGTGTTGTCACTTTCATATGTAACCTCATATGCCGTAAGTCTGTTAGTCAACTGACTGACCAAATAAAAGTACGTGATTCCCGTTTCCGCAACAAGCCAATTTGCATGTCTGGGTCCACTTCCGACGGGAGTCTTTAATGGTTCAAGTGGTTCCAATAACTTGGTATCTTGATCGATTCGATAGATTCTCACGAGATCAGCACCCAAGTCTGGGACAAGGACAAATGATTCTGTAGGATCAGTGATGGCTTCGTGTGGATGCGGCGCGGTTTCGTATTGGGGGTCTGCACCGGGAGTAGTAAGGTTATAGGTGAAGGTTTGAAGAGGGAGGATGTTGGTTGCGGAGGTGACATCTAGAGTTCCCACGCTGCTCGAGGAACTATTGACCAGTCATTTAGTACGAACCCCCAAGTCAAGTCAAGTCAAGTCGGAATCAATGAGTGAATTCTTACTAATAAGCTAAAGCCAAAGCAGTATTATTCGCATACAATACTGTAGCCGCTGCCCCAACCGGTGTCTCAACTCTATCCAAAGCCATCAAAGAACCATCGTCTTGAATCTTCAACGAATTGAGAGTTCCATTACTTGCAGTCAAACCTCTATCAGCGCAAAACAAAATATCTCGTGAAGAATCTAAGGTGATCCACGAGGAATTGGCCGCGCAAGCTGTAGATGTCGCAATGACTCCGAAGGAATATGCACCATTTGCATCTTTATCGAGTGACAATGTAGTAACAGTTCCTGCATATGAAGCCACAAATAGTCTGGACGCGAGAACTTGAGAACTTGCGAGTGTGAATATAAGAGATTTTGAGATGAACATATTGAAAGCTTGGGTTTGGACTGGAAACCCAGAGCTCACGTCGAAGATGGCGGCGATACCACCAATTTATATGAACCTTCAAGACGAACGATTTAGACCTTGTCCAATATCGGCATGCTTAAGCTCAAGCTCTTTTGTACCATTATGCAAGCAGAAAAGGTACTCATAATCCGAGATTCCGAGTATACCTTTTCCAAAGATTCCTATTGTACAGCGTTAATGTAATTTATCAGACTTCCGATCTCAGAAATCTTCGTAATTCTATTGGTGGTAAAACCAAATTGCCCCACAAGCCCTAATACGATCCCAAACTCTTCATTAGTCTTTGAAGAATCCACACAAACTCAAAATGCCACCATTCTCTTGGGTCCCTTGCCCGAAAAAGAGAGTTCTGGCTTGGCAAATGCATGGCGACCGGATATTAATTTGCTTACCCTGGATCATGTACGAATAACCTCATTGCCCTTGCATTGTTTCGGGTATTCTAGATTGACCGGGAGATTTGCCGAATATTACCCTATCACCCACAAATACGGGGTAAAGATGGTTCAATACAGCAGGAATCCAGCAAAGATCGTGTACACTTGTGCACCAGTAGGCATTCTTCACCTTTATAAGCAAAATGTAATCAGTGTAGAACGGGATCTGAAAATGTATTTGCATTGATCAAAACAGTACCATAACCTGAATATAAAATGAATCCTTGACCCAACTTCTTCTTTTCCCGAAGACCAAGTATACTATGTAATTGGAACCATTCTGAATCTTGTTTGCTCTCACCAACCCCCGGTATTCACATCATCTGGCTCAGGAACTTTGCCAGCAACTCCTTGCATTTGACGTTCGTGTTGCATGTCTGCCGAACTTCTCTGAAGAGTAGTGATATGGTATGTCCTTCTCTCCTTGATTTGACCATTCGCGGGGATCGTAGCTTCACTTCCTTGGTGAATGACGGTCACGGTATGTGCACCATGACCTGTGAATTTGCTAAGGATCTGGGATACTGTTGACATTTTGTATTCCCGTTGACCGTGTCCTCGTCCACCCTCACCGTGTCCGACCTCGCCATCGAGCTCCATATCATCTAGGCCTTGAATGTTGTAATGTCGAAGAAGAGGCCGTAATGTTGCGATGCAGCTTGCAACAATTCCCAAACCAGCTTCAACTACGGACCAGATAAGCATTGGAGATATTGAATCTGTGAATGTTCGTTAGTCATATTCATATCAAGATAAGAGGATAGGGTTCCGAACAAAGAGGATCTGTATAATCCAAGTCCACAGCAAACACTCCGATTCGTACAGCACAAGCAACACCAGCGCTGATACTCCGTCAGTACAACTCAAATCTCGAGAATATCCGTGTCACTTACAATAATCCTAATCCTAGGACAGTGACAACGAATGTCTTCGTTTTTATGTGCATTTGCATATTCCAAACTAATGCGACTGGAATGAGGGTAAAGAGGAGATATAGCGCTAGGGACAGTCCGGCCCATGCATAACCTAGAGCATCTGCTGAGTCGTAATTACAATATCCATCCACGCTCGAATCGCCTTGCTCCCAAGCGTATGAAATTGGCCGACAATTGAAGATCAGGTAGAAGCTTGCTATGAAGCATAGGATAACATTGATTGATAACCCAGCCCAAAGAGCGTATGCGCAAGGACTGGCCTCAGTAAGACGAAGGAGACATGTAGCATAAGAAGCTTTGACCGCCGTAACAGCATTTATGTAAATTAAGACCGTGAGCCAGACGTACTATTGATTGTCAGTTGGTTATATGATTTCAGAATCAGTGTTAAGACCTTCGAGCTTTCAACAATGTCACCCGTCTTCATTCCTTTCTTGTGTTGACCGATGCCTCGTTGAACGCCGACGAAGAGTAATGATGCCATCACGATATAAAGGCCCTAAAACTCCAAGTCAGAATACCAAATATTGAGATCTCTTGATAATATGTCTTACGAGAGACAAGAGAATGAGAAAATCGTCATGGCCAATGGTGTTTCTAATTACCACTCGAGTGTAGTAACGGAGTGAGACAACAAAAACGCCGAGAATGAGGAAAATGATTGTTGTTGCCAGTATCGATGGACCATAAGAGTCCATTCTCATTTGGGACGAAAGTGACCACTTTCTTTGTAACGATGGAATGTAATTCCTGTTGGATTTGTTAACTGTATTTTTAGGTATACTGAAGGATATTGTAGGTTGTAGAAGCGCATCATGCCACAAAGTGATGGTCAATTTGCAGGCATTCTGACAGATGCTTTGAACAAGATGATCAGGGGAGAGAAAACAATAGTCAAGAGAGATTGAAGGAAAGAAGAATCGGGGGCGAGAAGGATTACGTGTTGTGTGAAGGATGAGAAAGGGTAGGAGCAAGATTGATTTGACGGTGGGATCATATCTCATCCAACTCTGGAAGGCACGAAATGTTTTCAAGCGTTTACCACACTCTTAATCGAGTTTGAGCGAGATAGATAAGAATAGAACGACAAACATACCAAATCTGTAGAAGGTTGTGAAAAGTTAACCTGCCTCTCAACGAGACGATTGTAGTGAAGCATCACTTGCTTGCTCAATAAGCAGTGCAACGTATCCATATTCGACGAAACGATATGCATACTGAGTTCCAATAATGACTGCACCTCTGGAGTATTTAAGAGCAGTCACAGTCATGGGACTTGCTAATTTCTAAGCCCCAAATGCAAAATTGCCGGGCAATCCCTATAGACGGCTGCAATAGTCTGCGACAGGAATAGACAGGTTCGTGGGGCATGTACATAATTAAGTACAGTGACAATGGTGACACTTGTTATTTCCATCGGTTTTAGACTTCAGACTACTGAAAACTGACATGCGGCGCTTGAAAATATGGTGTATATATGCAACGCCAGCCTCATGAAAGTAAGTATCCGTCCTTTCTGATGGTTCGCATTCGCATAGCATGATTCCAAAAGTAGATTCTATGCATCACCAAAATACAATATTGCCCACGAGGACTGATATGTATCATGACGTAGCGATGAATACCTCCATAGCCTTGATGTATCAAGATTGATAAGTTGTATTCCTTTTCCCCCCCCAACCTTGCTGTGACTTTAATTGATGAAAGCCGGTAATGGTGGTGGTGGTTGTGGTTGTGGTGAAGAGGTTACAGATGAATGAGTCGAAGGTTGAGGAGTTTGAGGATGATTAAGGAATCACAAATGTGACTTTAGTCCTATAACGAAAAGTCCCTTTTGAGATTGTGTTGGGAGAGACTGAAAATATACCTATCAGGTACACACACTTTGCTTCTCACCGCCGCCTTCATACATCGAAGCGATACTCGAGGATATTGATTGAATAGAATCGAACTGAACTGAACTGAACTGAACTTGTTTTTAATGGGACTCTTCGCATATACCAATCGAACAAAATGCTTGCTTTCAAATATATCAGATTTGAGGCTATTGATCAGGAATATATACGAATCTCGCCTGACAAAAATGTTTCCGTTCCCAAATTATCAAAGGGCCGCAAAAATGGTCTTGGAAAGCGGGTGTCTGCAGAATCAGGATGTTGTCCCTTGTATACGCCACAACATGGAAGTGACGGGTAGCTGGCAATAGTATCGATAAGTAATGCTTCGAGGAAGAAGACGTTTATGAGAAGGTGATTGATTATCTACTAAGTAGCTAAGTACGAGTAGCTACTTCGTAGGTATTGGCTAATAATTCATTTCGACTCCGTACATGAGGACCTGCATGAAACACCTGGTTGAAATACCCAGGATAGCTTATGCAATCTACCTCTTAGGTGGTATCTAGGTACATGATACCTACCTCGCCTACAGACTAGGTATCTACAGGAGTCTAGTACTTGGTAGTATTTCATCCAGTGTCTCTTTCTTTGGTTTGTCTTTCATAGAAGTCCATGAATTTTTGGGGACGATGGGATGCGAATAAACACCTACAATGCACCTACACCCACCTACCTACCGTCATACCTATCACACATACCATCTCCGTAGGTAGCCCTGACGGAATTGAGAATAGCTGGAGTGGTTAGTTCTTGAAACGAATTCATTATCGCTGGATACTCGCTGGATACCAAACCCGCATGTGCCGCACCAGTAGAGAGAGAAGTCAAGCTGTACAGAAGTTTCTGGAAAGTCACATCATGTTGATCATCTCCATAAGCACTCTGTACAATGTTTTCCGGCCAAATTCAGATGGGCGATAGGTTATCTAATTGCTAGTGGTGACTTGATATCCTAATGCTACGGTAATGCTCATGCTCATGCTCATCCCCAATGATAATTGAACTTCTGGACTTATTAGCCCTATCAGCCACCGGTGAACGCTTAAAGATGCCTCATTTAGCTTCTTTCTTCTCTTTTCTTCAAAATTCCAGGGACCTAAAAATGTCTTTTTCTAAGTTTTAGCACTTCTAGTACGCCTAACTAGGCCATCGGTCAATGTAATTGCCGTCAAAATCAGGCGATGGACATGTCAGAATGTCAAAAACCATACGATGATTGAATTGATTCCAGACGAAAGGGAGAGGAGTAAATTGCAGGTGGTGGTAGAAGGAATTGTATAGATTTAAGTGAACGCCCACTTCGTACGAAGGTTTGGATGACCTTTTTTACTTTCCAATTATTGCTATTACGATTGCTATTGACATTGCTATTCCTGTTGTCGTATCCTTTTTCTATTGGGAAAAAAGGGTCGCAGTCACTAGTTTTCTCTAACCTGTTACCTCTTACTTCTTACCTCTTGCAGCTGCACGCACCTAAAGCCACACCCCCCCCCCCCCCCCTTTTGTTATCTTGAAATTTACTACTGGCTGTCAAATGGTCTGGATTTTCAATTGGACTTGACATCGACACTCTAGCTTTCAACCCAACTTAGCATGATTAGGTCTTTGTGGCGAAAAGCCACTTCAAGCCTTTTCGAGAGGCGTAAGCAATCGAGTCAGAAGGGGAAGAAAATGAGGAACCACAAGTCCTTGTATGTATCAGGGTATATATAGTACAAGAATTTATAGTGTCGAGTTGCGAGATACTATGGAGGCAGTCATTGTGCAGCCTCGACATTCAAGAATTCAGAAAAAGCAGGTGCACCGTTCGATCATCGATACCAAACCACAGCACATGAAGGGTTGTACAATCAGAAAAAAAAAGCCAAGATTCGAAATGCCATATAAGAGACAGGGGATTGGGTCGGAATCTCGTACCACCCGATCAATCTTGAGAGACAGCGTATAGGTACCATGCTGATGTGCTATCGAGTATCTTTTTCAACCCCTCGCAGCTGCCGACAAGTTCACTGGATTCATTCTACGCATATGGGGAGTCGGAAGTAACATCCGGTTCCTAATCGATATCTCGCGTTTGTTCATCAAAGTAGCATACAGTAGTATCATTCGAATTGGCGACCCCTCCTGTCTGTACCGAGTTCATGCATGGCTTGAGGTGGAATCGACGAATCTGGGAAGAGGCAAAGAAAGAGAGAACGCGCTAGAGAATGGGAGAGGAGACGGGGGACCGGTTCAAGCAAGACGACATTATGCGCATCCATCTACAGTGCACACATATACAGTATCATCTACATGCAATGGTATTCTTTTCGATTCAGTAATTGCCAGGTAAGTTCACCCGTCGTTCTGCCATTCATTCCACCTAACACGCCTACCACTTACCATTGCAGTCTACGGAGTATTAGCTTTTCCAAGGTTTAGTCGCTGCATCGGCTCAGGATCGAATACAAGGGGAAAGTCCCACATACACACACTCATTCGTTTTTTGTTCCGTCATAGGAATTTCTAGACAAATCATTGGTTCTTCTTTTTTTTGGACCTTAGAGAATCCACATATTTCCTTGGCTCGGGAAGGACTTCACCACCATTTCTTTCTCCATATCTGCCCTCACAGTCTCATCCACCCAGTACGCACGCTACGACCCATCCTAGGTATTTTCAATTCTTCGATTCGATGAAGATGACAACAAATTAAACTTAAACTGTACCAACTATTGATGAAAAAAAAAGGAATTGACAACGCTACTCGATGAGACCTCAATTCATTCATTCACTCAATCATCCATTGACTCCGAAACCCTCGATCAAATCGTCCATTATCAATTGACAAAGATCGACCCAGTCAGTACCTTCCATTCACTTGATTCAAATATGTCAGCACTTCGATTTTGAGGTTCCTCAAAGCTTTCAATGTTCCCACCCACATCTCCGATTCGTCTCTGTAATCACTCGACCACCACCACCACCACCACCACCACTACTATCACCCAACCACCAATACAATACACACCATCTGGATGTGCGACAACACCATGATTGAGATTCCCCACGACGTCAACAATTTCAATCCCACCGTTGTTGTCTACCCACGCCACTACTGTATCGATATCGATTTGCTATACTACCCAAATTACCCAAATTTTAATTGACGAGGAATTCAATATCTTGGCGCAAATCTATTACTGAAGTCTATCAAGGTTCTCGAGAAGAAAAAAAGGTACCGCCGCCATACTTGGAGTGGTTGGCAGCAGATCAAGGACAACCTTGGAAGGGCAAGAACCATCCCTCGACACCATGATTTGGTACCTCCTCTATCCATTCAGAGGGTAAGTGATCCAGTGAATTGATATGCTTGACCAAGTTGGTATATCTAATCAAGCTTGTCTCCATCAGAACCACGGAACCTCCCGACCTCGACGTCAAACATCCTATCCGAGATCGCTTCACTAAATTTGGATATAACGTCGCAAAGCACTCAGTCGCTGCCATAACTATCTCTGCTATCATCGCGACACTGCTTATATATCCCTTTCCATTTCTCTTCACGAATGGCTTCACTAACGGCGCATCAAATCTACCACATCATGTATGGTCTTCCGCACAACCTTTGAAGGCACTGGATGATTCGAGGAAACCGGATGTGGTCATGCGATCGATATGGATACATGGTGTGTTATTACTCTGGGGTTTCAAGGGAGGAGAGCTAATACCGGAGTAGGAAGCTATATGAAAGCTTTACAACCAGATGTTCTCCGAGCAGCATTAGAGATACAGGATCATATCTTAGGCCCCACTATTAACTTTAACCCTCGCAAAGAAGCTAAGCATGCCCAGATTGACTACACACAGGATGAATTATCTGTGGATTCACGAGATGCCTTCCATGCCGTAAATGGTCTAACAAATGCATCTTGGTTCTTTCATTCTCCATTACAATACTGGTCATGCTCGAAGGAAGCGATCTCAGCTGATGACGACATTGTGATGACAGTCAACAAAAACTTACACCAATCAACCTCTGTCAATGTGACGTTGAGGCACTCTATTGTCTTTAGTGGCAAGCGTTTTGAGGATCACCATCTTGTGGCTGCAGATGCCGTGGTCATAACTTTGGTTCACATGCTTGATTCGCCTGTCGGGAGATATTGGGAGAGAAGAGCAGCTCAACTCGCAGCCAAAGGATATGATGACTGGCGCATGATTCCTTCCGATGGCCATTCGTTAAGAAGCACCCCCTATGAATTCTTATTTCAACCTACTGCTACTTGGGAATCATTTGCACTGGCTACCGCATACAGCTTTGGCGCATGGTGGTTCGTCGCAACCTTATGGGGCCTACGGGCTCTCAAGTCAAGGCTTGGTCTTCTCATTGCAGCAACTACTCAGTTGGCCTTCACGTTCACTTCGACGTTCACCATCTGCGCTATTATCAAAACGGATTTGTCTATGATACCCAGAGAATACTATCCTTTGATTGTTGTCTTTTGCGGCGCGGAAAATATGCTTCGAATCGTCAGAGCTTTTATCGTCACGCCCTCATCACATCATCCGACCCTTAGATCTGCAGAAGCCTTTGGAAAGAATGGACATGTATTCCTTGCAAACACTGGCCAGAGGCTTCTCTTTTTGTGGATTGTTTCCAAGTTTGGAGGCGTAGGGCAAGCTACTTTCTGTCGCTTCGCTACTATTGCACTAATTTTTGATTTCTTTTACCTGCTAATGTTCTTCGCTCCCGTTTTAAGCATTGATGTACGAAGACCTCAATTGAACGACACACTCTCGGCTTCTTCCCGGGAACGAAGCTATCCATCACCAGAAAGATCGTCTTCTAAACCATGGGCTGATTTCATTTTTCGTGGGGGAAATATGCCCTCGACTCGTATTGTCGGCACCTTGGTGCTTATTATTGCAGTATCGATTTGCCAGTGGCACTTCGATCAAGGTATATTGCAAAGCAGTCAACATGTATTGAAAGCAACTTCGCCGGCTTCTTCGATGCTAGAGGTCGATGTCCATCAAGCTAGAACTCCAACTGCCTGGCTTCGATTGCAAGACCACGAGACTGTACACGAGCTTATAAGCATTGTTAAACCACACGCTCACAGTTTTGTTGCTCAAGTTTACGATCCTCTAGTTTTTGTTTTAAATGGTTCAGATCGGACACCAAACAGACTTGGTGTGAGATCGTTCCTCCCTGCTTTTTATGACTTTATCGAGAACCAGTCCCTACAATTTCTTTTGTTTGTTATCATCACTGGTGTGATTGTCAATCAATTCATTAAATATCTCTTGTCTGATGAACCTTCTGACGATGAAGACCACGAGGGTCACGGCGACGAACCCCTGTTGTCGGTTAAGACATTCGGCTTTGGACATGCTTTGGATGTTGTCCTAATGACGGCTTCTCGTGATGGAATTATCGTTTCAGTTGGTCTTGATAGATGGATCCGTGTTTGGAATGCACAACATAATGGCCGAAGCTATGTGGTCGAAGATCCTGGATCCGATATCGATCCATTTCCTGTTTTAGCTATGGCGATCGATAATGACTCGAATTGGCTCGCAATCCTGTCAAAGAAAATGGTCGTCTTATGGAATATTCCTGAACGAAGATGGGGTCCGACAATGCCCGTGGACGTGAAAGGGCGCACACCAGAAGCATTCTTCTTTAGCCGCAACGACGTCGAGTTGATTGATCCCGTGATTATTGTGCGCCATACTGGTCTTATGTCGGAACTTCATATGGAAGATCATGTTTCAAAGGAACTACAAATATGTCGTACGCCATTGATCTGTGTTGAGCCGCACTTGGAGAAGGTTGTCATGAATGGCTCCCTACCACCCCCAAAAATCATAACCGCCTCAAAACGTGGCTGTGTCCATGTTGCAGTTGAAGAGAAATCTGGATGGGTCTCATATGACCTTAGACTCCCTTGGGTATCCGATGACAAAGATGTCAACTCAATTCTTCCATTGCCGGCATTATCCTCATTCCTCGCTATACGCGACCACAGCGTTGATCTTGTCGATATACACACTCATAATGTCACTTACTCATTTGTTACAGAGAACATCAAACCAGGAACACTGCAGTGCGTTCATTCGACGAGACGAAGGCCACAATGTGGATCTGTTGGTTTGGGATCATTTGCATTTATGTATACTTGCATTGAGACTGGCAATATGATGATGCAATCATATTTGCCAAGCAGAGAGGGTGATACTATATGTTTCCGTGACCCTGATAAACCAGGCTCCAAAACATGCTGTCTATGGCGGGAGACCGTGGAGCGGAGGTTTAGCATAGAAAATCCTGGTGATTGGCAAGCACTCCAATCGGGGTATGTGGTAGGTGTACGGAAGAGACAAGATCAAGATAAACAAGCAGCAGGAAATCAACTTTTGGGGTCGATTGGAAGCGGCGGACTTCGACGACGTGGTGCTTCGGGTAGGAGGTCTAGTCTAGATTACCCAGGAGGCAAAAATGACGGATGGGAGGTTTGGAGCCTAGGATCCAGAGGAGATGAAACCTCTGCGCCTTTAAATTCAGTTTACGATCAGGTTTTACTTGTTAGTAAACTTGGCCCGGTTACAAAAGTGGGTACGAACAGTATCGTAGTTGCGTTGGGAAACATGGTCAAACTCATTACTGTCGGTCATGAACGTTATGATCGCCTTGGCAATGATACCGATGAAACATTCGTGGGCATGGCACCTGTTGCAAATAGGAGGAAGAGACCTGTTCTCACACGAAAGAGAACAGATTGATATGCAGAATCTTTTATATCCTTTTTAAGATATTATTTGTGCTTATTCGCAAATTGCTTCTGGGGGAAAGGATGATACCCAATATATGGACAAAAGGCGTTTCCGGAAAGTTTTGATACAGGCGTTATCATGGTCAAGAAAACGGCGTTCGTGGACGATGGTGTTTTTAATTTTGGTCTCATTTTGCGTATACAAGGCTGGGCGTATGTAGTGGCATCTATATCACCCTTTAAAGGGACATGGTTATGGTACTTGAGTATGTGCTTATCTTTTAGGCATGCTGAGTTCAAAAGCATTGGGGCTTTCCATCAAGGTCAAAATCATAATCCAGCAGGCTTGCTCGGATAGGACGAGGATGGAGATGTATTGGGAATAGGTCGCAAAGGGTAGTCCAGTGGTCAACTGCTATCTGCAGTGAAGTAACATTATCATGGATCTTTCATCTGGCTTGCCGATGCAAAGTCATACTGATTGTAGAGTCATTTGAAATGCATAATCCACGACGTAGGCAGTTGCACCGGATATACAAATATCAATATATATATATATACACACACAATTGATCCTGTCATAACGAAGATCGTCTGCATATCACAGCCTTATGGCCCCTATAATGATTAGGTCTTACTACAGTAATCCACGTTCCTGCACTAATCAATAATGATCTTCGGGAGCTCCCCCCCTATTAATAATACCACGTGTGTACCCCTGTCTCTTATCGTTAGCTTATCGCACACGCCAAAATCCATACGCGACGACACGACCCCGTTCAACGGCTTCCCTTTCGACTTTGATACTAATTCGAGCAATCAGTCATGTCGATACTTAATTACTGGACCATTGCAGCGTTGGTGGTGGGCCTTGGGGCCTTTGCACCGCTCGTTATGGGTATGTTTGGGCTGGGAGGAAATAAATTTTTGGTGAAAGGCAAGGTATGATCGATTGTTTTATCCTCGCGGGCCGGGTGGGAACTCGGAGGCTTCGTGTTTTTATAGATCTGTTAACACCTCGTCTTGATAGACAGTCCTTTTGACCGGTGCCTCGGAAGGAATGGGAAAGAGTGTTGCAATTCAATTGGCGAAAAAGGGAGCAAATGTGATAATTGTTGCGAGAAACGTGGGGAAATTGGAGAAGGCTATGGTGGAAATCAAGGTGTGTTTTTTGATTTTTTTCGTTTCTTGAAGGAGAGGTAATGAAGATTGGGTGGGATTTGGAGTTGAAGGAAAGGTTGAGGAGAAAAGATACTTGGATACCATTGGAACTTCGAGAGGAGAATGGAGGAAGGAACAAGGGCTTCTAGATGGGCTCAACTGACACTTCACAGGCCGCAGCTCTCTCTCCATCGACTCAATCTTTCCACTACATTTCCGCCGATGTCTCAATTCCCACTGAAGCCGCACGTATACTCGAAGAAGCCACTAAATTCAATTCTTCCAATCCTCCAGACATTGTCTGGTGTATCGCAGGCACATCTACCCCTGGCTTTTTCCTCGATACTACCCCCCAAAAACTTCGCACACAAATGGACATAAACTATTGGTCTTGTGCAGACATGGCTCATTGCGTTTTGAATTCTTGGCTCTCCACCCCCAACGCCGAAAAGAAAGACCGACATTTGATCTTCACCAGTAGTGTTTTAGCTTTCTATTCCGTCGTGGGTTATACACCCTATTCACCGACTAAAGCTGCGATCAAAAGTCTGAGCGATACTTTATATCAAGAAGTCTTACTATACCCCAATCCTCCACAAATTCACACAATTTTCCCAGGTACAATAGCTAGCCCAGGATTGGAGATTGAGAATCAAGGCAAGCCGGAAATTACACATTTGTTAGAGGAAACGGATCCAATACAAACACCAGATGAAGTCGCGAGAAATTCGATAAGGGGCTTGGAAAGAGGAGAATATCTGATTACGGTGGGTTGGTTAGGAAGTATGATGAGGGCTTGCGCATGGGGAGGTAGTAGGAGAGGAAATTGGATGTTGGATACGTTGGTTACATGGGGGACGAGCGTGGTTTGGGGATTTGTCGGGAGGGATCTGGATGGAAAAGTCAGAAGTTGGGGGGAGGCGAAAGGATTTAAGAGGGGTTGAGAGATTATGTTGAGGCGGGCTTGCGCAAAATTTGGCCTTTCGATAAGTCAAACCAAGATCCCGGAACAGGGTACAACTTTCGAGAGAGAAGCTGCTATATATAGCGCACCTATTTCTAGAGGTATTCAATCGTATCTGCGGAGCATAGTAGACGCACAAACACCTACTTCACGCTGGTTTACCAAAGTACATAACACTAGCTAGATCAATGCCGAAATATCAGGAATTTGCGATGCTGCTTCTATCTGCCAAAACTATCACGACATTGAAGCTTGGTAGTGTCTGTTTATCCCGCGATGTTGCGAGATATTCGATGTCGCAAGTGCGAAATTCATGGGTGGGTGTGGCTCTAGGTCGATAGTGGATGCGTATTTGGAGGCAGACTTAGGTCTTGATGAAGGAGTTGAGTCTGTCAGTGCTTAGTCCTTGTTCAACAAATCCTGGAGCGTCGAAAAAGGGTGATGAAGAATGGGACTGGAATGGGTCGACGTCTAATTTTTGACTCGCCTTATTGGAAAGACATACGGTTTGTTTTAATACTACAATGCTTAATCAATCCCCCTTCTGGTTTGTCGAAACACATATAAATGAATTCGAATAAGGGATATTATAGGGCGTATCATGGCTACATATGTCATAGAGCAAATGGGATTGGCCTGAATAGATACCGATGCTGTTTGTGATTCCCGGGACCTTTATGAATCGAATGGTTTTCAGGCCGAATAGCTTCAACCAAAATCGAACTGGACAAATTTCTCAAGATCGGGTTCCGAAGAACAAAGGAACGTATAGACAGAGGCTTTCGTTTCTTTATTTTACAACAACAAAACGAATAGTCTCATACTCGTACCTTGTGGCTTTTACCTCCTATTGTTCCTTACCATTGTTCTACCACTCCCATTTACCGAGAATTTTAAGAAAGAAATGGCATCGTATAGCAGCCATGAAAGGGTTCAGATTCCTCGAATATATTTGTTTGGCGGGCATATATGGAAATCACGCAATCCTACATCATTTACTGCAATTGATTTTGCTACGAAATTATGGCCCCAGAAAAACATAGCGTAGACGACCATAATGTCATTATTATTGGTGCAGGATGGCAGGGTATTGCAGCTGCTAGGACATACCTACAGCTCAAACGCAACATCAAACTGACCGTAATTGACTCCGATAGCAGCATCGGTGGAGTCTGGAGTATCGAGCGAAGTTATCCTGGACTCATTGCTGATAGTCCTGTTGGGTGCTATGAATTTTCCGACATGTGTATGGATGAAGATCCGGAGTTGGAAATGTGGAAGATAATTCCGGGTCATAAAGTGGGTGAATATCTTCGCAAATTTTCCAAAAGATATGGCATCGATGAACATCTCCGCCTCAATACGAAAGTCTTTTCTGCGGTCCCTGAAAATGGAATTGATGGTGTCAAGAGGTGGACTTTAGAAGTGCAGACAAAAGGAAAAGAAAAGGAATTTCTCAAGTGTGATAAATTGATTGTAGCAAGTGGACCTTCTTCGGATCCAAGAATGCCGGATCTCGATACCAGTCAATTCAATGGACCTGTCTTCCACTCTTTATATCTCGGCGCTCGACATGCCGAACTCACTGCCGACAAAATCAAACATGTAACTGTAGTCGGAGGTAATAAATCGGCTGCGGAAGTCGTCAATCTATGCGCAACTGCAGGAAAGAAAGTTACTTGGTTAATACGAGAAGGTGGTGCTGGTCCAGGAATGCTAATACAAGCAAGATCGGGAGGAGTACATACCGCCGCCATTGCATTCTCTAGATGGGCCGGACTAACAGTTCCATGTTTATTGAGAACTCATGGATTTTGGTATTGGCTCTTGCATAGTGGTCTCTTCTGGCCCGGTATCTGGTTGATTGGAAAATATTGGGAGTGGGCTTCTCACTATATGTTAAAAGGTCTTTATGAACAGAGCGAGAATGCAAAGAAGATTGCACCTGATTTACAACAGTAAGATATCTGTGCAGTGGTGAACTTTACTTTACTAATGGAACACAGTCTCTTTTGGTCGACATCTGCACCTTCTTTCTTTCAAGAAGGCAGTACCTTATTCGAAAAGCTGAATGAAGGAATACTTATAGATGTTCAACGCACGCATATATCCAAGGTTAATTCCAACAGTGTCACTCTCGATAACGGTACTCATCTTGCTACCGACGCGATAATATTCGCCACCGGGTGGAATCTAACATTTTCCAAATTCTTCACTCCCGAAATGCGTCTTGAGCTTGATCTTCCCATCCCATTTGGTACGGAACCTCCCGCCCTAAAGGAATATTGGAAAGAACTCGATCTCGAAGCCGATCAATGGGTCCACAAAACCTTCCCTTTCTTATCTAATCCACCCAAGACATATGAAACTCCCCCAGACCACACACCATATCGCCTCTATCGTCAATCCGTTCCCCCTACTCTATCCAGCCGCAACGATCGCTCTATCATCTTCCTCGGCGTCCTAGCATCCCCCCAAATCCCAACCTATGCTGAACTTTCCTCGCTATGGAGTATCGCCTATCTGGAGAACATGCACGCCCCCGAAATCGACAAAGTGTTCCACGACAAATCAACCATGGATCTCGATACCGCGCGGGCAAATGCATTTATGAAGTGGAGATATCGACGCGCGGGGATCATCGAACCTAATGTGGGTGCAGAGGTACAGGATCTGTGTGATTTACTCTGTGAGGAGTTGGGCGTGGAAACGAGGAGGAAATCGAGGGATGGGGGGTGGAAGGGTTCGTGGAATGAGTGGTTTGCGCCGTATCGGAGTTTGGATTATAAGGGGATTGTGGGGGAATTTTTGGAGGTGGTGAGAAGGAGAGAGGAGAGGAAGGCGAAGAGTGAGTAGAGGGCTTTGGGAAAGGGGGGAGGGGGGGGATGTATTCGTAATGAGGTGTTTGCTATCTCTTTTTTTCTTTTTTTTTTGAAATAGGCACTTGAAGCATGTTGCCTTGTATTTTGACGTCGTTTTTCGAATTTTAGAGCGGCTTGGAGATAAAAATTGAAGTCCGTTGATTATGAAAATACATAGCACTAAAATTTTAATTCTTTTTGTGAGAAAATGTGTGAAATAAATGATATGCGTCCCAAGAGGTCTTTAGATTGGTAGAGTAGAGGAATGTAATAGAACGTAAATGCTTCGATCATCTTCTTTGTCTACATCTACCGAACAGCGTTGTCTTGGCATCGCAAAATAGGGGGATCCCACTAAAGAACCGAGTTGACTGTCGAAGTTCCACTCTGGTGAGCCATATCTGGACGACATATCAATTGGTGGTGGGCTGGGCTTAAAGAAAGCAGTAATAATACCTCAGTTTATTAACGAAAATTAAGAATCATAAAAGCTACGATCATTCATACTTCCTTTTATAACAAAATAAACTCAAACTGATGCATAATATCCGGATAGACCTTAAACTCTTCATGTATCTTACCATTCTTCCGCTTCACTAGCCAGATGAGATCACAAAATCAGATGTGCAACAAAAGAAGAAGATATGTGAAAATACAGCGAAAGATTCACTACTACAATGACTTCACAACAGGGGCTTATATATGAGGACCGCCATTTTCGAAAATTAACTGTAACTCTTCCGCCGTGATACATATACTTATCGATCCAACCCTCTACGATCTCTCCCTACGCAATCAGATCCTTGATACAGTCTGATAGTGCTCCAAGTATCACAGGTCCGGGATTTCCATATGGTATACCATCTCCGAACAACCCAAAGCAGCTTCTTAGAGCACATCCCCTCTCGTCATCTTCGAACTTTTGCTCCACAAGAACAAATTTCGCAATCCCAAGTGACCTTCTTATCGATGTGAATCATAGTCCAACCACTTCACTACATTTAGACTTGCACTCGGACTTGCACTCAAGGTAATGAGACCCAAAGCCAGCGGTTATTTATCGTCTGTCAAAATTCAATAGAGTATCTGGGAACCTCAAACATTCACACTCGTGAAATTTTCCCAGTTTACCCAGCATCCTGAGAAGTTTGTGCATCAGTGAATTTCATTCCGTAGAGAGCTAGGCTCTGGGAACAACATTAATCAATTGGCCAGCTCATTAAATCTACACTTCATTAGGAGGATGAGGACTACAAGTAGATAAAAGATATACTGAGATATGCCTCATTCATAACCCCCTTATCAAAGAACGCGCTTCAGGAGAGATAGGACTCACCAATACCGAGACTCCAGGACACCAGTATATCATAATTTTGTGATCTTTACCAAGCAAGCAGATGACTTGAACAGTTTAACAAAGTCCAAAGTACAGAGTTCTCAAGGTCATTAAGAAGTACATCTATCATATGCCCATACCCCTTCGTGAAAACTGTGAGTCCATGATTCACAAGTAGGATTTCATCTTATCGTATATATGTCCTACGAAGTGAATGCAAATTCTGAGCATATCTTCTGCCCCAAGTTCTTTTCAATCTCAACAACCTTTGCATTACCAAACACAACATAGCTGAAGGTAAAGGTACTATTGTATTCTTGGAGATCATTCACAGCTGGTCTCATATACAATACTGGTTCTTGAAGATCTGGACAGCCACAGGAGTATACATGCATACATCCATCATCACTTTGAACTAAAGTTCCCAAGTAACAAATATTGTTTGAATGTACTTTTGATAACAACAAAATCAGAACTCGAGCATCATCACTCAAATTTTTGAGCAAATAGTTGTTTCTCAACATTGAAACTCTACCTTGTCCAAAAGAGTTGGCTAAATTTTGATTTTGAACTTTCCCACAATCTCAAAATAATATTGATTTGGGATTTGGGATTCACACACTACCTCTCTACAGATCTTGATCAGAGACTTGGACTTTTCATCAATTCTATAAGGCTGCGGTCCAGAACCATAGCTTCGTTATTTCCTATACCTTTGAAATTATCACGCGCCTTTTCCCAAATATCATCGATTCGAGCGGCCGCTCTTAAACCACTTCATTTACCTTGCCGGAGGTCATCACTTTCACGCGGTCGCATTCTGTCAATTAATTCTCTCTGTCCTTCACCACACATCAACAACAACTTGTCCTACTGAGAAACTTAATCAAAATTGGTATCATCAGCTGTCCGGTATCAAGATGCGACACGTTTTGTTGACGATTTTGATCGTCTGCCCATGTTCTTTTTTGAGCATGGCAGATGGCTCAATTTCGAGTATCAGCATCAATGTTCTCACTCTTACATCGTATACTACCGTCTCACCCACCCCTATTATCGTAACATCCTCAGAAGTATGTTTCTGCGATGCCAAATCGATGCGTTCGATGCTAACAAGTTTTTTAGTTTGTGACACCAATTGATCAGATCCCCGTCACCTTGACTTCTGCACTGATCGTTATTTACACAGTGTATCCAGAAAATGAGTCTCCGATAAGAGGAACTGTAACTGAATTTGCATACCCTACATATCTTCCATCGGTTGCTGCAACTCTTGCAACGTTATCAACCAGCACTACGAGCCTTCCAATCCCACGGACAACTGGTAGCTCAAAGACTACTAAGACTGATAGTTCAAACACTGTTGAGATTGATAGCTCAAGCACTATTGTCAAAAGCACTGCACCAATAACATCTTCCACTAGGTCGGCGAGTTCAACAAGTAAGCCAAGTATTACACCAACCTCTTCTAAAACATCGTCTTCGGCAATAGCAACTGGCACATTGGTATCGACTCCACCAAACAACAATGCTCATAAATCGATGCTAGTTTTGGCAATTATAGTCCCAGCCATCGTCGGCGCCATCCTCGCTATTGCTGCGCTTGGTTTCCTGGTATGGTGGTTACGCCGACGTAATTTGAAGAAGAAAGGCAATAACGCTTCGAACTCCATGGCATTGAGACAACATATTTGTGATAGATATAACCAATGCGCAAACACAGGTAATAGAGTTTCATGCCCAGCACACAATTCACGAAGCGATCGTCTAAGTGTCTTGGACACGTTGGGCTTGACAGACAAAAAATTGTGGCCATCTTGGCCTTTCGGTGATAAGATGACATTGGGTACTGGTGCTATCAAAAAAGCTATGATGGGAGCTGCAGTACCAGTTTCTTCAACACCATCACGACCAGTAAGATCCTATCAGCATGAGTTGCAGTTTGTAACCAGTCCTCGACCAGCAGAACTTCCAGGCGATCCTACAATATCTGAAAACAAAGGTTCGATAGAACACCAGCCAAAAAGTGAGAATGGTACAGTCGTCGCGCCTCCAATCCCACCCAAGTCTCCAGATAGGGACCTCAAGCTGTATGGAAGAAATGCCACTGGACATACTCGATCTGGGTCAGAGCCTGCAAATGGTAAGAAGGGCATCGATAATTCATCATTGCCACGGTGGTCAAACATGGACGGTCATCTGTCAAAACAGAGTTCTGAACTTCACGGAGCAGTCGTATCCCCCTCTACGCCAACTACAGCATGGCCACATGGCAGCACCCCACAAGTTCTTGCGCCCGCGCTTCCTCAAGTTCAGAAAGAGTCGGCTACAACACCAGCAAAGGCATGGGTCGAACCACCATCACGATTCTCTACTCCCTCAAATAACTCTACTTCGCCCAATGCAACTTCGAATGACAGCGCCGACACCAGTCCAAAGCAATGGGTTGAACCAGTTTCAAACCCCGCTACTGGAACTAGAAATCGTGCGTATAATCCCATCCCGCCTTCCCCAACAGAAGCCGATACTCTACGTACTGTCGCAGAACGCGACAACACGTTGGCAATGCTCGAGGGCCGTCAAAAAGCCCACGTAACTGGAAGCATTTCTGGGATCTTTGGTGGAAATGAAAATCTGAGACTCTATAACGAATCCGTAAAGAGATCTAGAAGAAGAAGCGGCGACAGAAGAGCAGAGCTTCAAAGCAGGTTTCCATTCGCAAGACCACCCGTACCAGGCACAGTAACAGATGCTACCCATGACGTCTCTTACACTTCAACCGAGGCAGGAACTTCGATCCAGCGTGTTGACAAAGAAAATGGACTCGGGGGTTGGATGTGAGGTATTCGCTAGCGTAATGCTAATGAAGTCATGACTACATGATCATTGCGGTGAAGCATCAAAGGCGTTGGTGGATTTAAACAGAAACTCTTCTCGTGCAGCTTTTGCTGACTCTCCTTTTCTCTCCTTTTGTTTTTCTCTCCTTTTGTATTTACTTTCTTTGTTCCTGGATCACTTGAAGGATGAATAGAAATTGAAGGATGGTGGCCTTAGTAAATGAATGGGTGATGGATTGATGGACTTGAGGAATAATATGGGATGATTGACAGAGAAAGCTCTTTGCGATGAAGGAAAGAAAGCGAATCCAAGAAGCAAATCTCTTCTCTCTTTCTTCTTGAGAATCTTCAGAAGCATGAATAATGATGCAACGAAATGGGATTTCCATAGAGTAGAAATACATTTGATAGAAATCAGAATGAAAAGTATTACAATACTAACAACTTAGTTGAATTTAGTGAAAAAGTAAAGAGTGAGAGATGAGGTCGGAACAAAATTTCAAACTTTCCGACAGTTCCGAGGATTACCCTTTCGAATGCCTTTCAAACCTCTTGATCTCAAGTTGCATGTGTGTATTATTGTATCACTTCATGACACAATCTCAAACAAAGCATTTTATCCAATACTATACAGTATTTGCTTTAGTAACTCTTCTAGTCAAGAGTATGATGTTCTTGGATCGGTTGCTTTGGAATCACTAATGCTTGCGGAATATCTGTCAATCTCGACAGTTGTCTGTAGGATGAGCATTTGTAACGTTTCATCTAGTTAGTTATACTGCTCAAAGAAGATACATAGAATAGGAAATCAAGAATCAAGAATATATTTCCGTGGAAGAACTTTTCATACACAACTCAATAAGAGATTGGTTCGCTATCCGCCCATCCGACCTTTTGATGCTCAGCACACATATGTGGTATTTATTCCCATGACACCCAAATCACAAACGCCTGTACGCCAGCCCTGTCCCAGCCATCGAGAATCAGCACTCTATTTCAGAGCTAAGCTCCTTCTGAACTCCAAACTAACCCCTTTACTACCTCCGGCCATCGCTCCCCTTTCCACCTCATCATCCACCATATCTCTCAAATCCAAGCTGGTACTTCCACCCATCTGTCCCATCAACTCCTGCCTCTCAGCATAAACCCATTCTTCTCTTTCTCTCTGATTATATCTCATCAGCCCTTGCATTTCCACCTCTTCCATATCATCTTCCTCCCCTTCCAAGAATATTTCATGTCCACCTCCCTCATACACCCACATAGCTGTCACACATCCAGCCGAAGCCACCACCGCTGTTTCCCACCATGCCCATCCCACTGCTCCCTTTTCCAATCCCTGACCATACCAAATTCCGCCCACCACCGGTCCCACTGTGCGAAAACCCGCTGAGACCGATTGTCCAATTCCGTGTATCGTACCCAGAACAGAAGGATGAGGCGAGCAATTGTTCAATAAGATAATCGTAGCAGGTAGGGTAAAGGTTCTCGCTGAGACAGCCAGTAAAAGCACAAAAAAAATGCCAATCCAGATCGTAGGTCCGGCAGCAGGCGCAGGTGCCAAAGTGCTGGAAGGTAATACGGCCAAATATGGAGCAACGAAATAAGCGATGGGGAACAAAACTAGGAAAAACCGAAAGCAAAGAAGAGTACCAAGTCTTGCGTGTACAGGTGGATAAAGAAGAACTTGTAGAGCCATGCCAAGGACGCCGAGAATTGATGTTGCAAAGCCAACTGTTGCGGCAGACATACCGAGACCTCCAGTGAACACAAAGGGAAGAGATCGTGAATCGTTGGAAGTTGGTCGCGGAGTAGAGAGAAAAAGTGACCAGATATTTGTGAAAGCTCCAAGATGGAAATCAAAAAAGGCGCCGGTAATCAGGGTAAAGATTACGTTCTTGGTCCAGATGCGGTTGAAGGGTAATTTATTTGCGGTGGGACGAGTGATTGATTTGGGTTCGAAATTCTCGAGGCTATCAGTTGAGGTCTCAAGATGAGAGTAATCAATCGGGGCAACGATAGTTCCAAACCCTATTGATTGTTTGATTCGATTCATCAGATTGATTCCGTCATCAAACTGGCCACGCGCCGAAGGAAGAGTCTAAGATGAAGTCACAGGTTAGCATCCATATCCGTATATGCGGGGGTGGAGACATCAAAAGATATCCCACGCCAAGAGCACGTACCTCTTCTAAACCCAAGAATACGACGACGCCGGTAGTTGCTAAGAAGACGGCATTGAGAATACCAGGAAGAGCATAGGGATATGATTTAAGCCACTGAAATCCGAATGCAGCTTGGTCGCCGAAAAGACCAGGGAGTGTCATTGCTGGATCTGCAAGTAATCCACCCATAACTATGAGCAATGTCAGTACATGATGATGTGATTGATGCGATGTATACATAAACATACCTGGGCCCAATATACCAGCCACATTGAAACTCATAGGTAAGAGCAAAAACGCGCGAGATTGATATTTCTTCTCTTTGGTGAATTCTGCAACCATGGTACGTCTAATTGAGAAAGTTTAGCTATTGTGGATATGAAATTGAAGAATCTATGAACTAACATTATTCCAACAGTACCATTGATAGCACCACCAAAGGCACGAAACAAAGCCGCTTGCCAAAAAGTCGTTGAGAAGCCATATCCCATACATGAGATGGCCGTTCCAACCAACCCAATCATGAGAACCATCTTTCTACCCCAGGTATCAGCGGCTTTACCCCATAGCACCGCAGTACAGACCTGAGCTCCGGTAAAACACCCTTGCAGAATCCCCGCCTGTGACGAAATAGCAGCATCAGACAAGCCTGGATCAAAGCTCTTCAACTGATAAAACATATAAGCTTGCAATGAAGCAATTTGTAAGAAATCTACTAATCTAGAGAAGAAGAGGATGGCTAATTGATCTTTCCGAGGCAGTGACATCCATGTCACTGCCTGTGGTTTGGGACCAGATGCTTCCGAATCGGGTTCTGAGGCAGTACTAGGTCGTGAATCGAAGACCTCACGTGGCGATGGAGGTACGAGAGATGTATGTCGGCGATGAAAGCCACTTACCCCTCCTCTATGTTCGGGCAAGGCCGGTGACCACAGAGGTGTTGGGATATTGGTTTTCTCCGACATGGTCATTATTCTTTTTATTCTCAAAAAAATTGATAAACGATGATGAAATGAAACGGAACCCCCAAAAATACAGAAGAAAAGAATCAATAAGCCACAATTCGGATGGTACAAGTCAACAACTAAACCAGAGCAGAGTAATATGTTGAATGGAAAATAACGTAGCGGCTCGGTCCAGAATTGTGCCAAGCTATCAAAGAAAGGAAAGGAAAGGAAAGGAAAGGATAGAAGGGAAAGAAAAGATGGACCAAAGCAGGAACATACAAGCCAAAAGTAGTAGAAAAGAAATCCTGCTATTCGATCTTCATCAAACAAGCGTTTCGGACGTGCTCCTCTACTCGGAGGTTATTATTATTATTATCCATCTTCCTCGTGGTCAGTCTGAAATCTCCTTTACTCTATACTTACTTTATCCTTGCTAGTAGACTGAAAATGTTTGCGCGTATGGGATATTCATCATCATCAATTTCAAAATTAAGCTTGCCCCATAGCCTTGTACTCTTTAGGTGAGGCTTCAGAAGAGTAAGAAGATGGATGGTTGGTTGCTTTTGTGATCCACCTGAGATACCAAGTTCCCGAATTTTCAATCCAACTCTCCAAGCGTCCCATGGTCGTGCATTTTTGCAAAGGCCTTTGGTTCTCGGCTTGGTTCTTCTTTTTTTGGATCACCACTTGAGAGTTCTTGTTTGATATTCGTCCGAATCAAATAAGGATAATAAGGATAATAAGCATGAGGAAAACCAGGGAAGCAAGGATGTGTGTTAGGGTAAGTTAGTAGCAAGGTAATGAAAGTGTCACAGATAATCGGGAAGAAGTTCAAGGGTTGGCCGATGATTTGTTAGAATCTAGCGACAGTCACAATACTAAAGACACACCTCTTCACATCTCAGGGGAGAAGGGCAATTGATGGAAGTTGAATATCTCAATTCCAATGATAGTCGTGGCTTCCGGGACCGAAGAACAAGGAATCTTCCACTCCTTGAATTAAAATTATTGGGGATGTTGTTCACGTCGATCATTTGACGTGTATCCGTTATAACTAGTCTTGAATCGGTACTCATTTATTGCATCCCAAAGATGATTTTATATGAAACGATGGGCAACTTTGTGTGAGAAATAAGCTGTGTGAGAAATGAGTAAGGATGTGGAGGATATCAAACCACGCTTCTATGCGTAATCATGTTTCTTCTATTGATAGACATTGGGAATTGGTATCGAGGAGCTCTATACATCAAATTGGTTGAGTATTTGATATACCCATCCATCGGCATCATGATAAATCTTCACAAAGATGTATTGGTCCTAGGTACGCACCTGGCTTTATTATAATCAATGACAGTAATAATTAGAAGCGCGAATAGACAAGCGCCCATCCGAAAGTCTTGGCGCGTCGTAATTGGCTCCACCGTGTTCATGTCCCCTGTTTGCTTTCTACTTCGTAGAAATCTTTCCTTCACATTTCCCTCCCTCGTGCTTCCCTCGGAATCCCTCCCCAGTACACATACATCAACATCTATATTTCATCCAACGCTACTCCTAATATGTCATTCCCGAGAAACCCATTACGAATTTCCCAATTGCTATCTATGCATGCGTATATCTATGGAGTACGCTGTACGCTGTGCCTCAATCGTGTTCCCTTCTACTGAACTGCTAGACCATCTCGAGACCATGTACGCGATTCTACAGAGTATACCCGCCATCCCCAAGACTACTGCTGCCTGACGGATGGCATCATCTCTTGCTTCACACAACAGGATCCAAGCTTCGAAGCTCCTGATTTCTAAGGTCGAGCTTCTACTTCTCAATAATCAAAAGTTCCAATCACCCTTCGGACCCACATACACATAGTAGGACTTGACCAGCTTTGCATGCTTCTATGGTCCCTCTTCTATATCCTAGTAGGTTTTGATTCGATCACTTCCCCTGGTGTATCATTATTCATTCTTTCCCAAACTTCATGAGCAAATGTTATACTTCCTTCTATCCTTTTGTTTCTTTCCCATCAGTTTGCCATGGGGTTGACAGTATTATTGCTATTTTCTCTTCTCGCCTCCTTACCTGTCCTCGCCGCTGTCGAGTTGGGCGCTCTTCATGGTGATGATGCTTTTGATGCCGGTAGCTATGGGTCTTATCCAATCCGTACCTACATGTCAACCGATGTCGTTTCCCCGCGTTTGAATATTTTGCGATCGAGCTCATTATGCCGGAATGATTTGTATTGGGTATTTAGTCCTCGCGGGACTTCTGTCAGTGAACCGGGTGCAATGATTTTGGATTCGGCTGGAAATTTAATCTGGACCAAGGGAGGTTATGATCAAGTCTACAATCTTCAGGTACAGGTATACATGGGAGAAAAGTATTTGACCTTCTGGGCTGGAACAGATGCTGTGCAGGGACATGGAGCAGGATCTTATTATATGGTCAGTAGAAGTTGTCTCGCATATGCAATTCTTTGCGCATACTAACTTTGCGCAGCTCAACAAAAACTACAAGGAGGTTCACCACGTCGTTGCAGCAAACGGTCTCGCAGGCGATCTACACGACTTCACCATCACCGAAAATGGTACAGCCTTGATCACCATTTACGATGTCGTTGTAGCCGATTTATCATATGTTGGAATTCCTCAAGGATATGTTTGGGATTGTGTTATACAGGAAATTGATCTGGCTTCCGGGGAGCTTCTTTTTCAATGGAGAGCGGCAGATCATTATCCCATCTCTGATACACATAGGGAAATGCCAGCGGGGAATGGAGGAGTAAACTCTGCTTTCGACTTCTTTCACATAAACAGTATCGATAAGGATTCCAAAGGCAATTATCTTATTTCCAGCAGATATTTACATTCTCTCACCTACATAAATGGGACAAATGGTGATATCATCTGGATTCTAGGAGGCAAGAAAAACATGTTCACGGATCTTTCGGGTGGTCTAGCGACCAATTTCGCATATCAACATGATGCTCGCTGGCGTCACAATCGCACCGCCATTTCCCTATTCGACAACGCAGGAGATGATGCTCATCCCGGAAATGCTACTCGTGGGCTCCTCGTCTCCCTCGATGAGGTTAACATGACGGTAGAAGTCATTCGTGAATACATGAACCCCAACGGTGTCTACGCTATCTCGCAAGGGAATTTTCAAATTCTGGAAGATGGCCACGTAATCATGGGTTATGGAAACACAGGTGCATTCACTGAATACGATCCTAATGGAACCGCGATCTGTGACGTACACTTCGGACCACAAAGTCGTTATGGCGCTGGAGAAGTCCAATCATATCGAACCTTTAAATTCGATTGGCATGGATGGCCTACAACTGACCCTGACGTGCGAATATTGACTAATGGGGACGACTGGTTGAGCTTCTTTGTGAGTTGGAATGGAGCAACGGAAGTCACGAGATGGTTATTACAAGGAGCCGATGAGTCTGAAGCGGAAGAGGAAGAGTGGAAGACTTTAGATTATGCCGACAAAACTACTTTTGAGACGGAGTTCGAAATTCATCGTCTGTATCCAAGATACTTGAGAGTGAAGGGAATAGGAGCTTACAATAACGTCACGGGGGAGGAAGAGTTATTGGGGGTAAGTTCTTCTTTGGATGTAAACTTGGAACAGGTAAGGCTGACTCATTTTTTTCGTTAGACTTCAAGTATCTTTAATGCTAACACGGGTACGCAGATTTGGTCATTGAAGCCAGTGAGATTAGAGGGGTCCAGTAGTTGGCCATTGCTCACATTAATGGCGTCTGCGGGGGTGATCGGGCTAGTGGTGGGAACCAGAGAAGCGATGATTTGGAGGAGAAACAAAAGGGGAGCTAGTTTATTGAGGTGGAGGCCTCGAGGTTTGGGAGTTCCATTGTTATATGGGTAGGCGTATGGGTTTTGGAAAGAGCGAATATCATTGGGAACATTTTGGGGGAGTTTTAGCGAGAAATTTGTTTTTGTATATAGGACACACCCTTCTCGAGGTTTTATTTGTTTGTATAGTCATCTTTCCATGGAGAGAGAGAGCTGGAGATACCAATGCCTATATTTACATAGATACCAGTTTGAAAATAAATTCAAAGAACGATATTATTTAGACCCGCGCATCAAGTGCACCATTTTATTCCAATATTACCTAGTATTCATCTAATGTTACTGTACATCGCACTCCTAACCATTACCAGCCCAACATCCACTCACAACTGCCCAACCCATCCTACACCTACATGCCCAAAACAGAACGACTCTTGCATGTGAAAAGCACAGACGGAACAACAGGAAACACGAATCGTGAGCTCTTGTGATTCGTCTCCTAGCCGCGTCATCTTAGCGGTAGGATATGGAGTATGGAGTATGAGATTTTTGTTAGATGGGGAGGGGATGAGTAGGGGAAAGGTATGAGTGTGGTTTTGAAAATGGGAGACGGGATGGGGAAGGGGATGGACGATGTGTATACGCGATTGGGAGGATATGTATCTAGATATGTATGTTTGTAGATGGTTCATTCAAAAACAATTATCTACCCAGTCTATTATCATCATCCATCATCAAACTTGACGTCTGCGGCGTCTTCGTATTTTCTCGGGACCGAAAATGGATTCAAGTCTTATCTTATCGAACTTTTTTTTTCCCCATCACTTTATTAGGTTTATCCTATTACGATTTAAGATAGGTTAGGTATGTATTCACTTGTCAGAATTTTACAGTTTGAGACGAGGCTTTGTACTTGTTTTTGAGATCCGAGGTTCTTCTATAAGGTTACTCAATTTCATAACTAGCTTCCAAAACGTGATTTTATGATCTCGTAATCTTTTTGCTAAAAACGATCAAAAATAAAATTACAAATTTATTAATACTCGTATAACTTCAAAATTAAAAAAGTCTTCCTCAAATAAAAGATAACTATTAACTTAATTACTCTTTAAAATTTAAAGTAATTTAAAATTATATTAATGAATTAATAAATAGTTTAAAATAATCTAATAATGTAGTTTAACACCGAATGACTTATATCATTGAGTGGCCCACTTTAAAATATATATAAAATTCGTTTATATGTAACTATATACTTTCTTTATTTATTAATAGAATTTTTTAAAAATTGAAATTAGAATATTTAATTATATAAATATTATAAAAATCTTATTTGGTTTGGAAAATCCAAATTGATATATAAGTTATTATTAAAATAATATTTCTATAACGAAAATCATAACAATTTTGATTTTTTTTAAAAATATAATAGAAATATTTATATAAAAACTAGATTTTTAAAAAACTGATTTTTTATTATTATTTAATATCTTTTTTTTTTATACAAAAATAATGTTTGGTTATTAAAATATAAATATTAGAAAAAGCTTAATATTGATGTATTTTGAAGTGAGCTACTTATGAGGGAGCGATTGAAATGGCGACACGCTAATTGAACTTAAACCTAATGAGGAATTGAAATAAAGCACGTTCAAGACTAGGCTTTTATACATATACAGGGGAATGCTATAAGACTTATTTAGAGCCTTATGCCTTAATACGAGGCTTATAAATCATATTTTCTTTTTATCTCTAAATCGAAATAAATCACCTGCCTCTATTATCACATAACATTGAACTTTAATATCATTCCTTATTTGTTGAGTAGACTTGGTAAGGTGTATATATATAATATATATAATATATATAGGTAAAAGTGTTCTTTATTTCTGTTTACTCTCTTCATATGAAGAGGGAATTACTATATCTATATATGTGTACTACCCCCACTTACGCACTTCATGTATATATGGGGTAAAGTGTGACATGTAATGTCACATTATTGGTCACGTGTTCCGACATTATTCGATGTCATTCCTTATTTGAATTAGCTTTATTGTCTTTTACAATACCACATATAGAATACAACTTAATCTGACTAATGATTGATAATATTTATTCTATATATAGATCATATATATCACATGAATACACCGCAAAATTCGAAGAATACAGCTTTAAGTTATATATAGGTATAGAGAAGATAGAAATTGATCAGGAATTATATAATATTAAGTTAGATAATATATATATAAGGCTGAATATGAGAGAGCGATTAGAGTAAATTAGAACTAGATTCTTTGAATTATCAAAGTACTTTGATTTATTAGAATTGATATAAAAAGTCATTATTATGTAGAGATTCGAAAATTGTTTAAACAAAGTTACGAATGCTTTGATTAGGCTTTTGATCAAAGATTTCATTTTAGAATCGTAATGTAGATCGTACTTAATAGAGTTTAGTTTTCTTAGCGTGTCGTCATTTCAATCGCACCCCTTAATGATATGAGCCACTCGGTGTTAAACTACGTTATATTAAAGACTTATATAACTAGCTTTCAAACAAAACCTTTCAATTTTCAGGTTTTCGTTCTCAAATCACTATTTTAATTAATATAACTTAGAATCGAATAAAAATTAAGTAAATAATAGTATTAATTATTCTCTATTATATAATATTATATTTATTCAAGTCAAAACTAAATTAATAAAGTTATTGTAAATTGAAATATTAGAATATAAAATTTAAATGTTTTTCATAAGACATAGAAAAGTCACATTTTGAAAGCTAGTTATGAAACTGAGTATAAATGTATGTATGAATTTAAGACTATAATGATAATACTAATACTAATACTAATGATTAATATATATGTACAGAGTGGAGTGTATTTATCAGATATCAGATGGGTTTAACGGTGGTCGGATCTGGCAATTAAGCGTTCCGAAGTAAAGATATTTACTAATTATGCTTAATTAGTGTACATTGTACAAGTACCTACTGTAGTACATGGAATAAGTTATGTTATATCGCCTTCGTTAGCTAGGATCAATTGGTGTGGGCAGAATAATTCTATTGGTGACAAAATAAAAGCGGTGTAACATAACTTATTCCATATACCATAGTATGTATTATGTAGACTATAGAGGTTGAAAGGATAATAAGTAATATAAAATATATCTAAATGTATCTTCACTTTAGGTCTTTAACGAATAATAATTGAAAGTTTATATCGTAAACTTTAGATAATGAAAGTATTATAAAAGTTGTGTTTTACTCAAAATTACTTAAAATTACTCAAAATTCATTTAAAATCAATGATTTTGATTAGCTTTTTGATTTGAATTCTTATTTTAAACCTATTTAGGATCTATAAAAGGCTTTAAATACTTGAAATATTAGAAATCTATTATTGATAAAAAGAAAGTAAACGCTTTAAATATTGAATTTTGAGGGGGGAATAGTTTAATATCTATTTAAATTATTTAAAGTAGTAATAAAATCTATAAAAATAATAAGATTTAATAAAAGTAAGGTTTATATTAGTTACTCTTATAACCTTCGTATTAATTCAGCGCGAGACGATAAGATATGATATATAATACCTATCTAGTACTCAAAAGATATTTAAAATGAGATAATTTAAACATCAAAACAAATTTTCATATTTGAAAAATTTAAAATTTGACAACGACTTTTCGTCGAAAGGTAGGATATAGACATGCTACCACTTATATACAAAAACCAAAAAATGACTCAACAAAACAAAAAGCTAGAAATATACCAGACAAGCCTGTACTGGATGTACATTGTTCTAGCCAGAACCCAAAAACCCAATGATGATGCTTGATGTAAAGATATACAAGCCGTTTTCCCAATCCCGATTTTTTTACCTGTGAGTAGGTAGCTCCTGGCTTCTTTTCGAAGGTCTCTCCATTCTTCATTCCGAAGTCTCTCCGCTACCCCTCCATCAATCATCCCTCTTCATCTACAACATATTCCAAATCCGCATCAGGCAAACATATGCCAATGCGCAACCAACCACAATGCAGAAGTATCTGAACAAGACGTTCATCAATTGACATCTGTTTCTCCACCTCGAGCGATCAATGAAATCATTATTATCGTTAACTCTTGGGAATGGTCTATTCTTAGGAACTGCCTCGCCCAAGAACTCGCACAAATTTTCCCATCCATCCGTGATTCTATACTCTAATAATCTTCCCTCGCCCGCTGGACCCATAGCCTTAACAATATTCCTGACATTCTCATAATGTTCGGTATAGATTTGTTTTCCCTGGTTTTCAAAATCGCCTTTGAAGAAACAATCGAAGAATTCCTGCAACATGGGTTTATACATGCTCGCGGCCCAACTCCAGCCTTTCAATTTTTCAAGCTCCCAATCCTTGACGCGCCAATTGACGGTCTTGAGGGTCGATGCGTGCCAGGAATCGACGTCGCGGTTTGTGAGGATGATTTTAGCTTCGGGGTATGCGGCGATGAGTTCGGGAGCGAAAGCAACGGCGGGCCAATCGCAAACAGCTTGGCAGTGGCCGAGGAGTTGATCCCAGTCTGTGCGAGTGAAGGCGGGGCCGTTGTGGTATTTGGCGTCGAAGGCATCGCGCCAGAGGAGACAGTCAGGAGGATTCTCGATACTGGCTGACATCATGTGGTAGGTGTCTACGTAGCCTAATTCGCGCATTGCGGCTCTCATTGCTGGGGTTTGCGTCAGTACTCTGTTAAGAGGGTAAGTCTAGAGGAAGAGAGTACGAACATGCAGTTCCGGTTCTACCCAGACCGAGAATGAGAACTTTCATAGGTACTGTACGGCGGCAGTTGCGACGGTTGATATCGGTGTCTGCAGTGAAGATATCCGTGATAGGTTTTGGCCTGTAGAGACGTGAGTTCGCCATTGTGAAGAGATGTGATGTGACTCGTGTGTGAAAGAATTGTATTGTATATCAAGTTGAGTATTATGATTTATTCAAAGAACGAGTAAATGGGTATCTTAAGAAACGAAAAGGAGACTGAGACAAGAGAAAGATAGTGAGAGAAGATGTAAAAGCAGATAGAGATGAAATAAAAAAGAATTCTAGAAGAAATATAATCTACAAATGAACCTCTATATCTATCTATCTGATAAAGAAAGTTTAAGGCCAACGCCTTTTTTGGCGGGTAGATCCATAAATCCATATCAACCCCTTCCCATGGATATTCAGGAACAGGGACCTCTAGAATTACGTAGACAGACCTTCTAGCCAGGATAGACCGGTTGGACTGTAGCACAATCTCAACATGTAACATAGGAGATTCGCGGCTTGATTATCTTGTCTGGACTATAGGTGGAGAGATATAGGGAGGAAATGTGGGGGTGCTGGATATTTCAGGAGATTGGGACGAATTCTGGATTGACGGGAAGCGCGCGTTCGTCTGTGAGTTCTGGAGGAAAATTCCAGACTGTCTTCACTAGAAGCTGTAGACAACCGTGCATATCCTTGAAATGATAGCCATAATTAATGGGAAGCAAAAGCTGCCAGCTAGAAAGGAAAAAATACAATGACTAGGAAATTCTAGTATGCCTAGAAGGATGTTCCCAAACCAACACCACAAGGAACGTCTATCTGCGCGTATCGTACATAATTATCTGAGCCTCCAAAAATTAAAAACATTAAGAAATAATTCGCCCCCCTTTATCATTTATTTGTGTAGTTAACGTATCCAAGTAAAAGATATTCGAGAGCGCGTATCAAATACATGAATGATTTGCTAACATGGTACCATGTGTATTTTCTCCTGATAATCCAAACGAAATTCATCGTCCACGATATCCAGTGAGAGTACTCAGAACCCATTGAAGAATAATTGAGATCTCTCTTCATTGAACAAAAAGTGGGACAATATGAATTCCTTGATTCCATGTGGTCTTCTTTTTCTCAACTCTGGAGTCCGGTACGCGTCCAGAAGAAAATAATGGAGAAATTTATGAGGGATTCGGTCTTTTTTTCTCTCTCTCTCGAATCGCCAAGAGATTAATTAAGTACCGGTTGGTAAGTTGGTATGGCTCACCCCCGGCTTCGGGAAAGGATGCCTGAAAGCTTGATCATGAATCATGACTATTCTATCTTAGGTAATGTTTAAGCATCTGATTTCATGCCATTGTTTGTATCAATGTTAGCGTGCAATTATCGGACCAGAGAAGCTTTCTTTGGTAAGTTTGGTTGATCTTATTTTGGCGTTGGAGTTTCAAAGTTCAAAGGTTTCAGAGGCAGATATTTTGACGAGTAATGGCTGAATAGTTCATTAATCTGTTACAGTACTTCATAAACAAGGTTAGAATGGGGAATGTCAGGATTATTAATCGGGTGCCGCCAGACAACAAACTTCTTATTTTGTACATGTAATAATAACTATCACGGAGAAAATCTGACGGGTTTTGAATATTCATATATTACAGTTATTGTTAATGTTGTTGTTATATTTTAGCAGATGTTCTGTTTCGTCAAAGGGGATTAAACCTCATTTAAGGTTAGTGGAGAAAGACAATATAAATGACGGCTTAGCTTACGACTCAGGGGCCGTTACGAAATCTGTCAACGATTCAAAAGGTAAAGATCGGATTTTAATGTAAAATTAAGTTTTATTTTCTCTTCGATTCCCGATTTCCTTTTGGAGGTGATGGGTAAAGGATTGGAATACTCAAGTACGTGTTCTACGTCTGATGTTTGATATCTATTCATGCATTGACATTCTATTTCGAAATTTAACCTTCTGTTCACTACGTCTATTTCCCGGCTTAGCTCTTCTCATCTCTCCATTCTAGACTTCTCACAGCTCAATGGCATGAGAGCATAATAAATTCCAAGACATCCGGAGTAGATCACACTTCCCAGTCCTCCGAATGTCTGGTGGGTACGTACCAAAGCGTGAACAGTCGATCAGCATCATCATCTGATATTCTATTTGAGGGTCACATCTGAAACGTTAGGACCTGGGGTCCAGCCTTGACAATCAAACCCCAACAACGTCTGTCTTAACCTTATCAGCAGAAGAAGATTGCGATTCGCAACTCCATCTAACCTGGGTCATGCCAAGAACTGTCAATTTACATTGATTCCACAACTCCTGAGATCATCAGAGATTGAGATAACGGATGAATTAGTGATCAAGGGTTTGCTCAGGCCATATGAAGTTATGAGCCGCGTATGAGAACGAGCGAAACACAATCGTCAACCAAGGAGCCAAGTACTTCTTCCAAGCTTGGATAACGACGTTCGGGCTGATCGTTAATATATTATTCTTGGCTTCATTATATTTTTGATCGACTAGGCAAGATTCTTGGATGGGATGGAGCATACTTTGCATACTCCCGACGTCGGGGAATGGGAATGGTAATGAGGTGAGGTTATTCTTAGGATCGCCGTAGATTGTGAGAGAATGGTAAATTACCGTCTTCCAATTGATCATCGTGTTTGGTGCGTTGCATCGAGATTCTGAAGCCCGCTTGCTCTTGAGTTTTGAGGGGGGGGCGGGGAGCGGGAACTTTGTATATTGCGAATCATGGAATAATTCATTGAGGGCCGCTTGATATTGTTCGAAATGAGGAAATTAAAATACGTTTGAGTGGTACTGAACAGATATGACGATATTGTCAATTGTTTTGCAGCCAATGCGCAGATCTTCGCATTCCCGCGTTGATACGATTTCAGAGGCACCACTCCCTCCTGAGCTCTCCAGAGGCATCGCTGGCCGGTCTATTGCGCGAAAAATATCTCTCCCTTCTGAAATATCCATGCCATGATGATAACTGTGATCGTTAGACTGATCTTTCCCTTTCCCGAAAAATCTCCCTGGCGGAATACTATCCGGACTCTCATTGACGTAGCTTACCATATTTGACAACCTCCATGATTTTACTATTCTGAATGGTTTGAAATACTGCACTTCAATTTGGATGGGCAGGTTTATCAATAACTCATTGACAGACTGTATGTGATCTGTTCTCCGAGGATAAACTCTCGGCTGGTGAATGTCCGGTGTTTGCGGGGGTTTACTTCAATCTATTGCTTCCGGGAACTTGCGTGATGTGAAGTCGGAATATCACTAGACGGAAAGATTAGAAGGCGTTAGAAAACTGAGAATATGTCAACCAAGTGAAGCCAAGTAAGTATACAGAGAACGAGGAGAAATTGGTGGGGGGGCGGGGGAGGGGCACCAGTGGGTGCATGGATTGACGAGACACTTCCCAACTTTCGAAATTTTTAACAAATTCAATCTTTGATTGTTTGATATGAGACTTCACATTTTGACTGTTTCAAGTCTAATGAACAATTGTAATAGTTCTTAAGAGATATGATTTGATTCATTAAGAGATATTCACAAGTCAATTTTTTATAGTGTCCCGTCAGTCCGTACACCCACTAGTGGGGGTTCATTTCATGCCAATTTTGGTGCGTACACAGTAGTGTAATTTGTTGAGTATATAAACATCAGATTTTGAAATGAGGAGAACAATATATTCAAATACAATACTCCAGTCTTAGACATAAGAATCGACGTCGAGTTAAGAGACCCAAGGAACTACGATAATGCCTAGAAAAATATTATAGGGCTGTAGGGCTGAACATGTCTATCACGCCATGTAGGAGAGAAATTACGTGATAGATATCAACATTGATAGACTAGGGAATGAATAGGAAATTTTAACTGCAGTGTGGCGGAATGATGCATTGATTTTAGATGGTGTTTCTGGCATGGCAAGTCAGAATGATGCCATGCCCGCGTATGAGCCCATTCAAGAGGAAATACTGCAAAAATAGCTGGTGGGGACAAAATGTCTTTCACTTACCCTCCTCCAGGATCTTTCCTCTATTTGGTATATGTGATTTGGCAACATGTAATATCAAAAGCAAGTGACGGACGCATAGAGGATTTCCAATTGGATATCTTAAAAGTGAAAAGCTGTGAACACAGATGTATGTAATTCTCTAAGTGAAGCTTGCCATGCAAAAATGCATGTATGAATACCCTATCTGAATTCTGGTGATGTATGGATATCTTGTGTAGGTAGAAAATGAGCATTATACACATGTACTACATATTACCCCTCACAATCACTTCACACTTTATACTTTCACTTGAATATTCAACTTTTTGTTGGAGAAGTGGTCCCGCAGTCTCCTTGTCAATAATCTGCCTTCATTCCCGCTCCTTTAAAACATTATACGACTTTATCTCTGCATCTGCTGGAAGAAGCGCGCAACCTTTTAAATTCTGGACTTTGATGTTATCATTCTGATAGCCACTACTCCACGTAGCCACGTAACCACATAACGAATATATATATCATTGGCATCAAAACATTTCGCCATTTGTTTAACTGCGGTAGTGTAATTGGCTATGAATCTAATAGTCCAAATACAGACTCGAGCGATATGACTTTCAAGATAGAAGAAATTTCAGGGGGAGAAGAAGGCTAGAGGAGTGTCCATGAGACGAAGCCAGAGTCTATCAATCGCATTGAGAACCTTGGACAATAGGAACAAAAACGTTGAGTTTGCTCGCTAGTTCTTATACATACCCGTGAATAACAGCTTTAGTGATGTCAAAGTAAGGATTCTGAATCAAATTGAAATGAGCTGAGGAGTTTGACTCCACCGGGTTATTGTCATCTAGTGTTTGCACTGCTTCTTTAAAAAACGCGGCTCAAGTGGATGTATACAGCGATTCGTATTCTTGCGTCAATTTCATGGTAAATAACACCGGAGAGAGCTGTGACTATTCGATACATTCCGAATGTTTGATGGGGTGTACCAATATATCCACATTGTTATCCAAAATATCAAGGTCTAGTAGAGCACTTCGGTTGATCAAGCATCATCTTGTCTACAAAAACAGTGTTCGATTGTTCTAAAGCATAGTATTAAATCCGGTTCTGAGTGGAGTATGCGTAAACACCGTTGTGGATTTGTGTAAACAGTTTTTGCTACACTTTAAATCAAATCGAAGCCCCTGATAAACCTTGTCTTGATAGCTATGGCTCATTCATATGACCAGATAATCTTTCACTCTCCTCGTTCACCTTTCAACCTTTAGCGGTGAATATTTCAGAGTCAAGGTAGGAACAGTGACGCCTCAGGTTCTTCCAATGCGGCCGACAAATGCTGAAACGATGCAGTCGTAATCATGTCTTCCAAACAATCATCAACAACTGTGGTATTCATGACAATACAGTGCGATTGAGCATGAACATTGTCGAGATAAATCAATATGCATGGTAGGTCATTGGTCGTGAAGCTCATATGTCCACCGAACAATGAATGTGTACGAGAAAAAAAAGCTAAAAGCTTTTGGAAACATGTGAACCGCGCGTTGCTAATGCTGAACTGAAATGGAACTTCCCATAAAGTAGCGACCGCAAAAGAAAAGGTGAGATCTACAATGCATACGACCAAAAAGATGTGTGAAGCTTTCACAGTGCTATTGTTTTACGCAAGAATTTAAACCACGATCTAGCAAAACAACCACATGACGTGAAGTTAGAACTCAATCATCGAATCTTAACTTGTATCAATACACATAATGTAAGATGTGAAGTCAAAGAATCTGAGGCGCCTCCAAATCGCAAGTGGGATGTCAGTCTCTCCGCAAAGAACCTATGAATACACCAACATTTGAAGGACGCTCAAATCTGTAAAGACTGCGATTTATTGAAACTTTCCTCACGCTGGTGAGAAACATCCATTTACATGATTCCTTGGATTCTAAGGTCTTGCCGGTCGCGATCATTCGAAGACTGAGGCTTGAACTGTAGTTTCAATACCGAGGTCTTAGACAGAAGAATGGTATTATCCAAGCTATCCGCAAGGTTACACTGTCAGCGAATCATATCACTCGCTGTATAATTTCCACAATACTCAATGATGGGTGATATGATCGAACATTCAGAGGCCTAATGGAGTTTCGGTCTCAGTGTAGGCCAGAATTGACGATAATCCCACTCCGTACTTGATTCCATTGAAAGATGTCGAAACGACAATGTATGACGAGAAGTGTGGAACGTAAGTTGTACAGTACGCTTTTGCGCCGGAGAAGAACAATTGACATTGAAGATGAAGCCACTGTGACTGCAGCTTTGTTTGCCACAAGAATCATACGATCTCAGCATTCCATTTTGATCGTTCCAAGTACTGAAACAATGTACCTGCTCCGTGCCTGGAACAAGCCGCAAGTAACCAGCCAAGGATACTCGGATCCGTCTTTGGCTGAAGATGAATTCTCACTCTTAGTCTCCGCTATATTTACTATGTATATTTACTATCTTCCTCCGAAAGCTCCATGAAGAAGCGATAAACAAGGGGGAAGGCCCACAATTGACGAGTCAGATCACGTGCAAGGAAAGGATTAGGATCCTTCTCAGGATCGATCGCTTGCATACCATGATTTTTCTTCAAAGATCCATTCCAAATAATTGTTCCATTACTCCGTACCATTTGTTCGACAGCTAGTCAAATATCAACAATCAGTCTTATCGTCTGAATCTGAATAGTGTACTATCCGGATAAGTATCTTATAATACCGCCCATTTTCTTACGCAATCATCGCTTACCTAGTCTTAGGTGCTGTTGTAGTTCCTTCTTCAGAGCTAAGACTACCATATAACTTTTAGATATAGAATCCACTCTCGCAAACTCTAATGGCGAGGGGCGTGATAATTCATTAGCATGAAGTGCGAGTGAAGTGTGAGTGAAGTGTGAGGCTGAAGAGAGCTTCAATATTTTGATCACAACATGATATGGTCTGTGCATACAAAGTTCTACCTAGCCTTGAGTTGCAGCACTAGCGGGCATGGTGGGATCAGGTAGCCACAATATGAATTTCTAATTCTTTCTGCCTGGTTTAACCTCCATCTTCTTTACATCTTTTTCTATTTCACAATTTCACAAAATGCGCTTGGAACAGCGACCACTCAATCAATCTAGATTATATTATATTTATACACATATTTACATCTTTGCACCATCTTTGAGTCTGCAAATTTAATCATACACGTGCCACGCACGTGTAATTTTGCTCTGTGATCATTGGCTTGGATTTCTTCCCTGTTATCGTGAGATGGCGTTGAAGAAAGATGGGTACTTAGCTGCATATATATGACGGGAAGACAAGGCTAATCCGGTATCGAAACTCCGGTATTAGGTTGTCAGAAAATAGCACAGTAGGTATTGGACAGACGTCAAGATGAGCGATAAGGATAATCTATTCTATTGATCTAATTGACTAACGTGTACTTGCACTTTTCCTACTCCGTCCTTCTATGTCCCAAACAGATACAGAAACCAATATCAAGCCGTATATCCTATGAAAAGGGGGACCAAATTCAACAAACGCCATAACAAACGAAAGAATGCCCTCCTCCGGGGCTTAAATTAATCAACAGAAATTCACAGCTCATGGTTTCATTATCGTGATATTCAGTCGTACTAGGGCGGCTGGAGAGAGGCGCGGAGATGCGGAATTGATGATGCCCAGTCCTTCTACGAGTCCCAGATAGGACCAAAGGCTGGAATTCCAAGATATTCCAAATCCTGTACGAGTTTAATCGTCAATTTAGGATTTGAAATCACAATAACGGCTTCTGACTGAGTATCTCGATACTGTTGTATCACGAGAGGAAGTGTCGCCGGTCTCCCCATTGTTGTCGTATTATGGATGTATGCATTAGGTCCCAGTGCTTTGATAATGTCACCGATTTCGTCACCATAAGTCGTCAATGGGTCTCGAGTTGACCAAAAGAGGTTAATTCGGGTTTGTTGTGCAAGAATTACTGGTAAGCATGGTGCAATTCCTGAACCAGTAGCTACAAGCAAGATACTTCGGAACATGGGAGCGAT